TTCGTTTGAATAAAAAAATATTTCTCCTCGAATATTTTGCTCTGTTAACAAGATACTGTAGATCTAGCCCTTCAGATTGTGTTTATGAAACTTAAAACATCCTAAACTGTGTGACAAATTGAAGAATATCTAAGAGCGAAAGGGACATTATCCGCCACATTGTTCTTTCATGTAACAAGTTTTGCTATTTCGGTTGACCCTAAACGAAATGGAGATTTGTTTACATTGTCACGGCTTTCTCGCCTGTCTCATTTGAGCTTTATGGCGTACCAACTCAATGCCTAGTAGTGACTAAAAACGTTAAGCAAAAACAATTTTGTAGTTACAAGAATTGTCCGTGTTTATAACACTTGCAAAGTCTTAAACTGCTATTTGTTGTCATCAATTGGTAATGATTTTGCACATGTGCAAAAGTGTGGAAATTCGTGCAAATTCTCATCAGCAGGCAGACGTAGGTTTCCTGAACGATGGTGCAGACATTTAACTGATCGTTAGGCCTATCGCGTTTCTTGATCCGCCTCCATTTTTGTTGTCTTGGCCGTAATGGTTTTGTTAAGGTACACATCAAATCGCAGCAATATGTAATAAATATAGCGAGTGTAAATGGCATAATTCGAAGCACATCGCTTCGGATGCATCGTTTGACCCCGGAAATAAGTCTGACAAATCCACACAGCGCGCCCGGCCTGCTGATTGGCCAAAATTGACGCATGCGCCAGTTTTGATTGACAGACTGGATCGGTCTATTAAGAAATACACTTCACTCTACCACCATGTATAGTGTAATAAAACACACTTTTGCCCTGAACTATTATAGTTAAAGCACGATACTTTCTAAAGATAATTACGATTAATTTAAGGCAGAAAACAAACGACGGTGTCGGTGACCTAAATTAAGAATCCTCGCACAGGGCTAACTGGCGCGCTGTTCTATTGATGTGTCTGCCCCCTACGTTAAGACGAACGTTACCAGAAAAAAAAAAAACAAATGATAACAGTTTGATGACGGTTTACGTTCGGATTAAATATCTTCTCTGAATTATTTTAATTACATCTGTCATTAACGTAAACCATATGGGGCAATATGAACGTTGCATTTCTACTACCAGCGTAAGTTTAGATCAGTACATCCAGAGGAAGTTGAGTAGTCAAGTTAACCCCCTGGCTGCCGAGTTTTTTTTCAGGCGCACATTTTCATACGCTTTGAAAAGTGAACGTTGTGCGAGAATTGCGCTCGCGTGGTCCTGGATCTACGTACGGCTATAAACTTACACAGAAATGAAGAATATTAAATTTCCAATCCGTTGGTATAAATATAAGTGCAACTACCATGGCGGTTTGAGAAATAGACCTTGCTAAATGTTGTCCAAATTTTTGTTATGCGTTAAAAAAACAGTAAATTTCTCCGCTTTTTATCGCGCACCGATAAAAGCACTGTGCTACGAATTTTTTAATGGGGCATCTTTACGGAAAGTGTGAGCGAAGAAAATACAGCCTGATATCTGAACGACATAAGTGTATATGAATTGTGTTTATGTGCTTGTGCATAACGTTATACGCTCAACATTAAAAATGACTCGCAATAAATGTCAAAAATGTATTTTCTTCTATGACGTCAAACGACGACAGGGAGGTCATACACGTATAATGATAAGGGGGGCATAACTCCGTTATGCGTAACACTAGGTCAATGTAACCCAGATCACTTGGAGAGAATTTGTTGTGGATACGGACGCTATATTTTCGTTATTTTATATTCATGGTGAACAACACTATTCCAATTCAAAGTTCCCCAATGTGAACGGATGCGCTTTGGTAGTTTCACAATTTATAAGAAAAGATGACAACGTACTACATGTGACAGCACCTAATAGCTATTTGAATGGCCCTATCCGATATATAAGTTAGTTCTTAGATTCCAACATTCTCCTGTTTGTGTAGATGTAATTTGACTAATTTTGCATCGTTATTACCAGAGTACTAGCCATATCTTCAAATGTAACGAAATTGCTGAAAATAATACAACATTTTAGTTGACGTCATCGCTTGTTTTATGCATTTTGCGACGTCGGAAAAAGACGACATTGGTATGCTGATTAGTATATATCTCACTTAATTTCCATCAATTGTATAAAAGGTCTAGACTTCTATGTCAGAATTTAACACTCTTTAGACAAAATATGAAATGACTGATTTTACCATTTAAATAGTGTCCTGAATATATCAACAATTAGACGGTTTGACAGTGTATCTTATTGTGAACAACACGCGCACCTGTTTGGCATCAATTTAACGTAAATAAAAATAATATTTCACAACACCCGAATATTTTGTTTGGGATAAGAATTTTGTTTGTTTATGATTATGAAGCTATTTCTCTTCATACGTATGCAATGAAAGATGCAAAAAGATAGCTTTTCATATATGGAACTATATATTAGAATATGGATATAAGATTTGTCCGAATTAACACATGAGATGGTATATATATTTTTCAACAATTTTCCTATATAATAAGTAGTTAGAGTTTGATATCCTGTCATCAAAATATTATTTAATCGAATATGAATTGAATATATTATCGAAAACAATGATAGCGAATCATAAAACGTTTCCAACAAACGCGCACCTTGCCGATCTATATGCATCATTCTTTTGTCTATAAAACGACACAAAATTATGCAATGAACAAGACAATTCCTTTAAATATGTGTGCATATACATTTCATACCATATATAAATCATTGTCATTAATATTATCAGTTTTGCATATAAGGTTGAATTATATCACCGTTCATTAACCTGTTCATATGAAATTGCAATATTAGTCCTAATAAATTGAATATTGTACATCATAGGAACTAAAGTAGTTGCAGTTATGGCTACGTTTGATCTTCTAACACTTGTGTAAAGGTTTAGAATATGATGTATTGCAATAAATATGTCAATTTCTTATGTAAATATGATTCAAACAATCAAAAACTTTCAAAGAATAAAACACCGTAAACCCTATATGCACGTATGATATGATATTGAACAAGGCTAAATGTAGATACTGAAGTCAGTTTCATGAAAAAGTATCCGAACTATCCGCAAAATATACATCATAATACTGACAGTGTAATTGGAAGGATATGGCGATTGTGTTTACTCTTGTTCAACCGACCTTCACCTCAAAGAAATTGCCTAATATGTAGAACAATGTTGACGTATGACATCACTACCGCTGACCGATTTCTTACAAAATGGCGGCTTTGCTGACAAGGGTACACAGGATTTTGCGAGGACCCTTCCACTGATTCAGGGATCGTTTGTACATAAATATGAGATGTAAGTAATCAGAATGATTCTGACTATCTGTGTATTGTTATATGTTTTTATCGTTTTCACTATACGTAAGAGAAAAGGACAGAAATGCAGATAATTACTGTTGTCGTTCTGCGTGATTTGGCGTCAGTCATGGCGTCACGCTGCACGGAAACTTTGACAATTTCTTATGAATTATCAAATCATTGCATTGTATCTATTTATAATTTCCTATTTCTTGCTACGATACTCTTTCCATGTATATTCTAAAGGTATTGAGCCATTGCAAGCAATGAATCGACGGATGAATGTTGAAAAATTTCAGAAAATGCTACGCAGTGTAAAATCGGAATTTGTCTTTGTTTACATTTCACACAAACGCAGTCTTTCAAGCACAGCGTTCGTTTTCACACCCAATATGTTTCGTCTCATTTTATCTAGACAGTTATTATTGGTGACACAGACTAGTTTCATATTGATTCTAAAATGTATGGGGAATTCAGTGATGCATTTTTCGAAGCTGAATATGAAATCTACGTGATGTAATAGGCGTCTCAATACCGGCCTTCGCGAAACGTGATTTTGTAAACACTATCCAATATGGCGGAAAGCGCTCTACGGTGTTCGTGTAAGTGCAGTTTCGAAAACATCCCAACCGATTCTAGATTCATCGGTGACGTTTCAGAATTATAATTAGCGAAATCATGTAAAACTGATATCAGTGATCATAAATATGTTATTTTTGAAATTCAATACTCACAGTAATTATCCGATTTTCACATTTCAAAACATACAGCAAATAACGCTGTGAATCGCGATTTCATACTGTGTCAAAAATGTCGCCATTTTCGATGAAGCCTATTTTGAAAGGTCATTTTCAGCACTTGAGCTTTGTCTAAAATAATAGTGGATGGTATCAAGAAACAGGAAATTTCCCGCAGAATTCGAAACTGTGAAGTGTATTTGTGTGCGTGGGATACTTTGATTTTTATTCGACTTCAAATTGAGTGTTGAAGGGAAGGACATATATGTCCCTGTGGCATCCAGGGGTTAAATCGCATTTCTACTACCAACGTATGTTTAGATCAGTACATCCAGACGAAGCTGAGTAGTCAAGCGACATTCCACAATTGCATTGTGGGAATGTAAACATTGCGAACGTTACCGTGTCGCTGAAAACTTGTGAGTCGAATTGAGACATTTAAAACGTCAGAAAACATAACCATATTGTTTCCACCAGTGATGTTACGTGAGTGAAGCAACTGCAAACCAAGAAACGGGATGCAACGCAGTAGTTTACTGTAGGAGGCCGTACGAGGCGATGACAACTGACATGCATCGTGACGTCGCTTACATTGTGACGTAATGTAAAATGGTTCGATTACGAGGGGGCAGACTAGAATGGCGCAGTGACAGGATAACGTCATTCAATTGTTACGTCATCAAAAAACTATACCTTTATTGTCTGATAATGTATGTTTTTTCGATTGTTTTAACCGCTGGGCATCTTAGAATGCCAAATATAACATGTTACATTGGACCACTTTCTAAATGGCATTGTGTATTTATTGTATTTCGATTGTTTTGTATTTTGTCTTGATCTAATTATGCATAGAAAAGAGATGCCTAGATGTGGATGTTGTTGTTATCATTCCCTAGATGAAGCTGTGCAATGGTGTTACAGCGCCACCCACCTTATCCACTGATGTAATCTGGAATCCATGAACGCCATACCCCTTGAGCCGTTTACCGTTGAGGTAGTTGCCCACCGACCGCAAGTAGCCGAGGACCTCCTGTAGGGGTTTGCTGGACAACACTTCCCCGCAGGCGTGTTTCAGACAGGACACTTTCTGCAGGACACGTGTTAGTGGTTACAATACTGCACTGAATATACAGTAAATAGTGCCAGGCACTGTAGCTCACCTGGGCACGTAGTCATCAGTCGAGGCAACCATTTGCTGTCAGCATTTTTATCATGTCAATATTTCCTGGGTAGATACTGGAGATTAATAAACAACAGATTTGAACAAAATACGATATAATCAAAGGCAGAGAGAGTGAGTGGGTTGGGTTTTAAACCGCTTTTGGCAAAATTCCCGCAATATCACGGCAACGGATACCAGAACCGGGCTTCACACATTGTACCCACGTGAGGTATCGAACCCGGGGCCTTAGGCGTGACGAGCGAATGCTTTAACCACTCACCCACCGCCCCTTATCATAGGAGACGTACATACAAAAGTTCAACTGCATCAGTAGAGAGAATTCAGACGGGAATATGAGAGAAGAATATCATGATGATATGTGAATACAGACAGGCAAAGAGGCCTTGTCATGAGCTCATCCAGCAGAGCTTAACGTCACATATATGTCCTTCTCTAGTCGCTACTTGGACTTGCTGGAAAACGGTGTATTGAGTGAGGTTTGGGTATGGTTTAATTAGTATTTCAGCTATATCATTGCGCCTGAGCTTAATGTGGGAGGAACGCCTGAAACTGACGTAGGTCCAAGACCGTTTTGGTGAAACTCATGAGTATGTTTGTTGTTTAACGCTACACTCAGCAATATTCGAACTATATGGCGGAGGCCTGTAAATAATGGAGACAATCCAGTGGTCAACATCATGCGTATTGATCTACACAATTGGGATACGATGACATGTGTCAACCAAGTCAGCAAGCCTGACGACCTGATCCGGTTAGTCGCCTCTTTTGACAAGCATGGGTTACTGAAGACCAATTCTGACCCGGATCTTCCACGGGTTGAGAGTGAGTGAGTTTAGTTTTACGCCGCACTTACCAATAGTCCAGTTATATGGCGGCGGTCTGTAAATAATCGAGTCTGGACACGACAATCCAGTGATCAACAGAATGAGCATCGATTTACGCAAATGGGAACCAAGTCCGCGAGCCTGACCACCCGATCCCGTTAGTTGCCTCTTACGACAAGCATGGGTTACCGAAGATCAGTTCTAACCCGGATCCTCACGGGTTAACGAGTTGAGAACGGGTATGGTTCTGAAAAAGCTGGAAACCTACGAGAGGTCAAACTGGGATTCGAGCCCTGTCGTTTTGAAAGATGTTAATGCGTTGTGGTCGTCTGCTTATAATACCTCAAAACGGTCGGTATAGCGAGAGGGAAAGGTGATGGTGCAGATAGCCAGGTCCACTCTTTCCTCTAGGTGGGGGATGGAGCATAACTGCAACATGAACTCGTCCATTGGAAGCAGGTCTGATTCCGCACGGGACTTGTACAGTTTAATGTCGTCTGCAGTCGGCACCAGTCTGCAACACGAGGACAAGTGAAAGGTGAACATTCGTCCATTTAGAAACTTAGAGACTTAGTACCTCTCTGCCTGAAGATCTGACGTCACCAATGATAATACAAATATCCATTCCATTAAGTAAGCATTCTAGTAGTTAAGGATCCTGAAACCAATGGCCAACGAAACTTTCGGAAGTGACGTCATATCACCATGCTTCCTTTCATTCGCCCAAATACCCAACCTGGTTCCATGGGTCTGCTACGCTGGCCAGGCTCTCTAATAATGAAACCAAGAACCAGTCAAAATGACTCGCTTAACAAGTTGGGCATAGATCTTATTTCAAATTTGCAGCCTCGTACATACTCTTTGCTCTTACCGTGATTTAATCTTTTCATATTTAAATTACAGTTTCCCCCTCTCATTACTTTGGACTGCGGATCGGCCGTAAGGGAAGTCTATCAACCACAGTTTCAATCCTATTTTTTGCAAAGAATAATATTATTTACTGATCAATATTGTAGACTATAGATAAGGATTCCGAATCGAAAACAAACACCGGTCCGGGGTTTTGAAGACAACATTGTGACATTTCACTCACTTCTTCATGGCTCGCAGTTTCTCCACCCCGAAGACGTCGATCTCGGTGATGGACGTCATGGCATTCAAGAGTCTGTCGAGGGCCCGACGGTATGGTCGTCCTAACACAATCCCCACGATCTGGGCTCGTTTGTGGTCCAGGAGGACCTCGTTCCGGTTGTCCGTTGTGTCCGTGCTCTCTGCAAAAGGTGAGAATTGTTGATCTGAGTAGTGTTACGCCTAGTATCATCGACATTCGGCAGTGATTCACAAACACATGCCCACGATGAAGGAGTTGAACAGTCGACCTGCCAGATTTATAATAGATGTGAAAAAGGGCTTTGTTGTCTTTATTTTACAAAAAGAGCTACACACAAACAGTCGATAAGTGCTGTAGACTACACTGATTCAAACTTGCTACATACAGCTCACTCAGTCTGAGGTTAATAGCTAGAGATCAATAAGGTGTTCGGAATCACAGTTTCTTCTTGGTAAAGGGATACAGAGATATGTCGTCTTACTTTCTGCCTTTTTGTTCGCTTTGACGGAAAAATGCAGTTCAAGTTGCTCCAGATTCAATTTACTCGTCGCATCCTCCACACTGTGCCACAGGGACTTCTTCAACTGAAGTGGAAATACAACTTAAATATATCTGTACCAGTACTTGCTGTGTACGTCTAGAAATCACTAGTAACACATCTTATTCTTGAAGACCACTAATATAACGTACACGAATGAAAGTAATTGAATCAGGTCCTGACAAACCGTCACAAATCAGTTGAAGTTAAGGAATGTCGGGCGCGAAGAGTTCTTGGATGGGTGACCCTGTTTGGCAGCTTGACTCCTGACAGTTTCTAAGAGTTCAGTTCTGCCCCACAACGAAGCACGTGTGATATATGTGGTCTCACCTTTGGCATGTGAGTTTGTTCAAAATTGCCTCTACAGTAAATGGGTACCCGGTGGGATAAGTCATGTGACTATTAACCTTCTAGCGCCTCACAGGCTTATCCGGGGTAATAATAATCAGATTGTGCGCTCTGCGCTTTGAGCAACCGCAACGGATAGAAAATAGCGCATAACAAATGCACGTATTATTTATTATTTTTACCGGCTTGGCCAGCGATCCACACAGAAGAAGGCGCAAGGAGAAGAAGTATTCAGCGTATTATAAAAGGGAGTAGCGGAATAGAGTTTTGTGGTTAGAGCAACAGTGAAATAGTTCCCTTTTATACTCACCATAGCAGGAGGTACTTTTGACCAATGTGCCTGCTTTAAGTTATTCGTAGGTGTGTACAGCAACTTCAGACCCGACGGCGGGGCTGGACCTAGGGGCGGCGGAGGTGGGGGAGGTGGTGGTCCTGACCCTGAGGAAGGAGGAGCTGGGGGCTGTGGACATGGTGGAGGAGGGGGTCAGGACTGTCGGGTGAGACTCTTCTTCTGTAGGTGCTCTGCTTTCTGTTTCAACCTTCAAGTCTCCTTGTTTGTCAAGGTCCTGGACAGCTTGTATAGACGGACCTGATGGCCCTTCTTCAGTATACGATTCAGCCAACTCGGCTCTACATTTCAGAAGATCCTTCAGTTCAATCATTACAAACTCTTCATCTTCGGTCGGGGGCCTAGAGGGCGACCTGGTCTTGGGGGAGAACATATTCAAGATAAAGGCCCCTGCAGCTCCTGGATCGGGGAAGTCGACAGTGTCCTCGCCGTCATTACCGGCGACCACGACGCCTTCTCTCTCGCCAGTGCCGAATACGGCCGCTCGTATGTCCTTCTCACTCAACTTGTTGGGATCTCTCATTGCAGAACTAAACATCTGCAAAAAGAGGATTCAGGATAAGTTTTGAAAACAGTGATCTCAGTGCGGTAGGAAGGACTCAAGAGATGCAAACGAGGCATGGTGCCAGAAGACCAAAGACATTATTGTGACAATTCAAGAGATGTTGCCTCTATTGATTGGTATCCACGTATTTTGGTTATAGAACTGTGGTCTTCAGGAAAATAAACAAACGTTTTCACCTCTTTAATGTATGATACTGTATGAACAATACTGACCTGTATCCAGTCGCCAACTTTGTCCTCCGCTTCATCTTCTGAGAGGCGGAAACTGAAGGAAATAACAGGAGGTAGACTATAAACAGTATTATGTTCGTACATGGCACAAATCGCTGTTAATATTGTATCTACGTTCGTTTGACAAACCAGGGCAACGTTCCACATGGTACTATGACCAACTATCGTCAAGTTAGCCTGGTCTGGTCTGGCCTGGATCATTGTCGTCGCCAATTAAGGGAAAAGCATTTGGCCTGGGAGTAATTCTAACCCAGATGTAATGAATCTTTGATTGTCTTGGCCCTGGTACCCTGCAGGTATTCCTGTAGCTATACACTGACACAGATACAAATAAGGACCTGTCTTGGCCCGGGTACCCTGCAGGTACTCCTGTCGCTACACCCTGATACCGACACAAAGAAGGACCTGTCGATGTAACCTGGGTATCCCCCAGGTACTAACCTGTAGCTATTCCCTGACACAGTTACAAAGAAGGACCTGTCTTGACCCGGGTATCCTGCAGGTACTCACCTGTAGCTATGCCCTGATACCGACACAAAGAAGGACCTGTCGTCCAGCTTCTGAACCCAGCAGGTGTCCTTCCACAGCTCTACCACATCTTCCACATTCTGGAACTGTCAATCGGATATTAATATATTTATATATACATATGAACGGTCCTTACGTCATTGAAATGCCAAATGTTAGACAAAATAATGCATTACCCAAGTGATGCCTGTCACGTGACTTAAACTGACTGACAAAAGAAAGTATACACTTGGACAAGGGATTTTACCCAAAAAGGTACAAACATTACCGAAATACTATTTGGCTGAAAGCAGTTGACGAAACACTGCAAACTCAGATAAAAAAAAAACCAGCTACATTTTCCGTGTTGATACATCACCACTGAGAGACCGTTTCTTGATTGTTTCCTTTATCAGATCAGAGACAATTCTTGCACTAACACTCGTTTTTTCAGAATAAGGGGTACCGTTACAATGCATCATTTGTTATAGTTAAATATAAATAGGAAATTAATTCACGTGTGCACTCTGTGCTACTCGCATTAAGCAGCATCACTCTATACGACTTAAGCAGTATGCTGTTCACAATAAAATCCGTTTTCCGTTATATATCAGACAACATGCATTGGCGATGCTCCAGTATACATGTACCTCTTCTCCAGGAAGCTGATACGTAAAGCGACCGTACGACACCTGCACCCGTCGACTGTAAAAGTGAAAGGTTCGGTTTAAACAAATCTCTTGATAGTACCGTTACTTGTTACTTTACGCTATTAGGTAATGATGCAGATATAGGAATAGAGATAATTTAATGAAATATCCCAACATTTTGTAATTCAGATAATCTATAGTTAAATGTGCATCGTTTAATATACGGAGCAACGAATTTATAACGATAAATGTATTAGTAAATTTCCTAGTTTCTGGTTGTAGTCATGTCAGTTATTCTCTAACAAATTGTTATTCTCTAATTTTTGGTCAGGTATTACGTATTTCTACACATAACCCGTTTCATCTCAGGGGCGTAGGAACGGAATTCAGAGCGGTTGGGGGCTAATTTATGAAAAGTATTGAAAATCAAAATGAAATTGTAGTTATGGTAAGGTAGATATGGTTTCGTCTTGAAGGGGCTACAAGCCCCCTGTTCCTACGCCCTTGCATCTAGTTCACATTAATAACATGTAGGAAGGGAAATAACCCAAATTAGTAGGTAGGTTGGTTGGTTTTATAGTTTTAGGCCGACGTGGGCCAATAAGAGGCCTATTTGCGCCCAACACATTGACTTGATTTAATAAACAATCATAGGTAATTTCATCGCCAAAAGGAATCGTTTAGTTAAGATAAAAGAAACGACAACACTATTAATATTTATTTGGATAGATGTATACATATATCGAATAACCTCTGCTTTGTGTTAGGGATTATAAACCTTAAGTAATCACTTCCATTTCTGAAACATGAAATACTCATTCATTAAAAAAGCAGTAGGTTCAGATGACAGAGTGTTAAAATGATTTAAAACCACAGAACTAAATCTGTCAAAGCCATTCGAGAGCCTGTCTAGATTACATCATGTGTTCCAGATGACGAGACAAAATCTAAAACTGCCCGTTGCACAATTTAGTAACCTCGTCACTTGATTATCTCCCCTTGATAACATGTCGTGGATGCACTGGTGGACCCAGAGCAGGAGAACCATGCACTCACATATTCCACGTCTCCACTCCCATTTCGCCCTTCTTCTCCAGGTTCCCCGTCTTGATAGGTTCATCTTTGAATTTACCTGAGAAGAAATATAAGTAAGGAAATGCATTCAATGAAAGCACCTGAAAACCTTAACAATAAGTGAGTGGGTTTACTCCGCTATATAAATAGTTGTTCCGTTATGTGATGGCTACTGTCAACTTGATGTGGGAGTCCGAAGTGAGGCAGGTATGGAACATTTAACACTTTGGCATTCGTGACCAACTCGTGTTATTCCGGGACAAGCCGAATAGCGATCTTCTTAAAGGTTACGGAAAGGGGCGATGATGACGAATGACACTTTGGGTGAAGCCTACGAGCACAGGTGTAGTGCTGCCTGGACTAGAATGAAAGTCAAATCTGGGATTCAGAACCACCAGCATAGGATTCTGGCATGCCTAAGGGAGGCAACTCTGTACGCCGAATAGCGGCGCCTTTGAGTTGAGCCACCTCACCCCCAATACACTTTATAGATAAAATAATAATGTAGTCATCTATATTTATCAGTTAACTTTCAATTCCAAATATAAAATGAATCTTCCCGTTCTGTGTCTTACATCGACACCATCTCTGCGTCATAAATCCTGACTTACCCGGGTCGAAGTGACCTTGACATCTAGCAAATACCACACTCAGCAAGTCAAAGATGGCAACCTTGTCCTTGCGGTTGTCGATGTTGACAACTAGTTCTCCTTCCAGGAAGTCAAGTCTAAGGGTCAAGTCCGACTGAAAATAAAACAACAGCTGAATCCTCTTGTCCAATGAGAGGTTGACATTGGATCACATGGAACCGTCATTCTTTTAAAAATCTATAGGTTATATTTTTACTTTTAACAAGAGACAATTTTAATAGTACATTAATGGTGACTGCATTACATTATGGTATATAAGTCACATGTCACTGTAATGTTACATAGTGGTTACATATCTCTGGTGTGATGTTAACGGTTACACTGTAACGGTCACTCACGCGATGTTAAAAACACCACTGATGTAATGTTACGTAATGATTACTCGTCACTAATCTTGTTACATACTAGTTGCACGTCTGTGATGTGATATTACATGGTGGTTACAAGTTACTTGTGTGACATTACATGATGGTTACACGTCACAGTGTTGTTACAAAATGGTTACACTTTACCGATGTGAATCTGTGGAGGAGGAGCAGACTGTGTTGACGTTTAGTGACTCCGTTCTGATGCAGATACAGACGGAACTCCTTCAGGTGAATCTACAAGAAGAATATAGAAGACTTTCATAACACTGGCGACTTAGATGGTGTGTGATGTCTTCCGTTTCAATCGCACTCATCATCAGCTGTATAGTAGCGGCGGTCTGTAAATAATCGAGTCTGGACCAGACAATCCAGTGATCAACATCATGAGCACTGATCTACACAATTGGGATGCGATGACATGTCCAAGTCAGCGAGTCTGACCACCCGATCCCGTTATTCGCCTCTTATGACATGGGTTGTCAAACACGGATCTTCATGGGTCTCTCACTTTACAAGCGTGAGTTTCTGGAGACCAGTCTTGAGTTCATTAGATTGTGTGGGTTATACTCCCTTGTATGAAAACATCAAAAATGATGATTCAATGACTCATGATACTGATAATGACTCTCAAGGTCAACTATCAAAGCATAAGTAAGTATTGAACTCTTTCATCTCAATTTATCGTTTAAAACGATGCCATGTTGTGTTATTGGCAGCATTTGTCGTCGTTTTTCTCGAATAATGGATAACTCGATGTCGATATACAGTAGGTGGTCCTGGCCAGGCCATTGTAGGTGTGCGACTGCCCTCCATGTATATATATGTCGCTGTAAATACAACACAGACCTGCAATATGGCGGTTTTCCAGTCTGGTGTGTAAACACTGTAAGCGTAGACGTCTGTGTCCATGGTTGTTACCGTTGCCGTCACGACGGGTAGGGAAAACTAAATCTGTTGGAAATAACCTCGAATTATTAACTGTTGAGACATTTTGTTACCGCCCCTTAGAGCAGTAATTCAGTCATTTCAATAGCTACAACAACAACAACAACAACTACTACTACTACTACTACTACTACTACTACTACTACTACTACTACTACTACGACTACTACTACTATTATATGAGTAGTCGGACTCGTAACGCATGTCTAATATACTCTTAAAAAAGTAGGGGAACTTCATTTTTAATTTACGATTGAAACAATTGAGAGAGATATCGGAGCCAATCAATGTTGATATGATAATGATGAATGTTTTGAGAGTGCAGCACCACTTGCACTTCCTTATGACCATAGCTGTTTGTACAGTAATCGCTCTTGAAATATGATTGGTGTATGACCTGATATTTGCATGTGTACGATTTTTTTTTTTTAAAAACAAACCCAAAAAACTATAAAAAAAACAAACAACCGGCTAGGAACAAACACTAAGAACTGTATGATGTAAGATGATTGTCAAAATTAATGGTCCATATTGATTTATCGACCTTCTTGGAAACTGTCAAAATCAAGAATGACACCCCATGCACGTGTATGGGGCTACTGCGTTGTGCACGTTCATCCCATGCGTTGTGTTCAGGGATGGTGATAAAGGCAAATGGTGGTGCGTTCATAAGATGTCTGTCTTTGAAAAGTTTGTTAACGCTTATACTTCCTATCCAATTGATAGTTCAGATATCTCTACTTTTTTAAAGAGTATATATTACCAATTCGTTACGTCCATGGATCCATGTCTGTTCGGAATCGGTGAGGTAGCCTTATAGTTAGAGCGTTCGCTCCTCAAGCTGAAGACCCGGATTCGATTACCCACCTGCATGGGTACAATGTGCCCATTTCTGTTGTCCCCGCAGTCATATTGCTAGAATATTACTAACAGAGGCGTAAAACTAAATCATTCACTCACTCACTCAATGTCCGGTCGGTTTTGACCTTTCTCGGAAGTATTCTATCTATCTATCTATTTATCTATCACTGCGGTTTGTAAATATGTCTGGATCTGACAATCCAGTGACTGACATCATGAGCATATATCCACGCAATTCGGATACGATGAGATACAGCCACCAAGAAAGCGAGCCTTACCACCCGATCCACCTGACCCGAGTGTTGCCTCTCCAGGTAATTTCTACCCGGGATCTTCACGGGTCAAAGCTGTTACCACCAAACACTTCTCTGCGTGAAGAGAAGGTATCGTTAGATGAACTCTCAGCAACCTTTGACCGCCATGGAGTCAACCCATAAACACTGGAACTCACATCGGAGTTTTATCTGTTTTGTAAGTTTCATTGTGATGCCACACTCGTACATTCAATAACCAAATCATTAACATATCAGTATAAATGACATTATGTTGTATAGATCAGCTATGTAGGTTACTCTGAACATTATTATCAATTTTAACAAATTCAAAATACATATATGTTGATGCTTGGCATGAATCATAATCAAATATCGGGCAGCAGCTGGCAAATGCAGCGGACTCCTGTGTTTCCAGTGTAAACATCACTGTGCAGTGTATTTAACGGGAAAACTAGAGACCTGTCTGAATGCATAGACTTTACAGTTGCGCTAACACAACATGTACTTCTAAACCAGTAGACTCACAGTCCAAAGTCTATAATAAAGGTTACCCTAACCTTTGACTTGACTATCAAAACAAAAATATGATACGTATACAAGGTTTGTCGTCTTTAATATTTTGTAGTGCTTAATTTTGCGCTTGTATTTATTTCCTTATTGTCGGTTTGTGTGTGTGCGTGTGCACGTGGTTGTTTTATTGTTTTATTATTTTGTTGTTGTTGTTTTTGGATGGAGGAGAGGGGCTGTTTATAAATGGTTACTTTTCGTGAGGAAACATTTTATGGCGAAAGAAGGTTGCTTGAATATACGTCTATTGTCATTTTTCAGTCCGCTTTGTTTATCAGCAATAATTCCTGAAATTATAAAATATTCTTTGTCACAATAATGATAAAATATATTTTCATTTGGGGCATCTCCACATTACATAGTTCGTGATACGGATCCAAAGCTTTATCACAGCACTACATCCGCGCGCTACAGTCAGTACCCGTACTTCTTCAGGGCTGGGCAAGGATGATGCTAAAGTTATACCGTTTGCCAGATACATAGTACTGAAGGAACGCAGTAACGTCCAACCTCGGAGTTATACATCCCCCACGTGTATTCAGGGTTGGAACCGGACTTAGTACTTGTGTAAGGGACAACATATGGGGATCGTTTCGTCAAAATCACAGGGGCGTGTCACGCTTGGAAACAGCGTTAGAAAGACATGTAGGTATATAGACCCTACCCTAGTACTATCCTTGTATATAGTACTAGGGTAGGGTCTATATACCTATATGTCTTTCTAACGCTGTTTCTAAGCGTGACACGCCCCTGTGGTCAAAATGTCATCCATCATGATATCAACCACTGATTTTGCTGGTCCAGATTCGATAATATAGCGGCAACCGTGTTGAAATAGCGCTGCCGAATCCGCAAAACATACAGTCACCGTTGTATATTTTGATTGTTTGTTGCTTAACGCCACGCAGCAATATTCCAGCTATATTGCGGCGGTCCGTAAATAATCGAGTCTGGACCAGACAATACAGTGGTCAACACCATGACCATCGATCTACACAAATGGGACGTGAGTCAACAAGCCCGACCACCCGATCCCGTTAGTACCCCTTTACGACAAGTATGGGTTGCTGAAGCCCAATTCTAACCCGATCTTCACGGGTACACCATCGTCGTTCAACACTTAGACGTGTCAAGTTAACCCTAGTGGTTTCGTATGGAGTGAGTCAGCGCAAACCGATCACAAGGACTTGGTTAGTTTTGTTCACGTGAAGTAGTTTAATTCAAGTCTACCCTTGTCGTCTTACTCTGGTGAGAAATATCCAAGACATAGACTTTCAAAGGTCTGGTTTTAGTATTGTTATGGCATGTATTATTAGTATACCTGTTGTCTGGATATCGAGTTACTTGTTTTCATTTAAACAAATCAATAAAAACGTGTCTGTAACATTTTGTTGCTCCAATTCACTGGTGTACCGACATTGTTGAAATGACGGCGTGTCCAGGTAGAACACCTGTCGCAGAGATACGTAAACCTATGTGCATGTTTCTTGTTCATAATTGATCGAACTGTTAACTGAAGGAAAATAATAGATAACAAAATATCAGTACACAATTTGTGTGTGCGTGCGTGCGTCTGCGTTGTGTGGTGGGTGTAATCGGGATATCAGAAATATGATAGACATGTTTTTCTGAATGCTATATGTGGTCTTCGTTGGCAAAACTACTAGAACTACATTCAAAGTACATCCAAATTATTCAAATACAAATCGTGAACATAGGCTTCGCGACAATATTGTTTGGGAGAATCCACGTCTATAGATATAAATTCCGTGATTCCAGCGATCGTATTACCACGCCATTTCACTGGAACTATCCATATAATATCGGATAGATATCATATAAAATGATGGATTCATAGTGAAATCAACCTTATTAAACTGTGAGGTATATTTTAAATTGTTTGGAGTGAGCGTCGTTTCAGCAATTTTCTACAATATAGCACCGGTGGAACCAGAAATGGGTTTAACACCTTGTACTCGTGGGAATCGAACCCGAGGCCCATAAATTAAAATATATGGTACTTACCTCAAGGGTATGAAGGCTGACTTCTAAAAGTGCGTCTCAATTCAACTGTTCTTTAATGAAAATTCACATATCACTCCTCATCATGTGACTTGTTGAAGTGTCCTTTCCGACCCACAAATAGAACACAGGATCGAATTCCGAGTATTTCAGTTTCCGAGGGAATCCCAGCTCCGTCATCAGCTGGATAGCCCACATCGCAGCGCAGCCACATTGATCATCACAACACAAACAGGTTATTGTGTATACATGTCTACATTCTTGGTTATATAAGCCTTTTTACATACCGAGTGTTCCATATAATCACTGAGATATTTGTTAGTGTGAGATCATGCATTCAATAGGCTGACAGAAGGGCCGAGGCTGTAGTGTTTATGTTATAAACAAGGCTATGGTTCGGTTGACTGAGGCCAATGTAACACACTGATGGTTAAGGCAGTTATTGTGTAGATTCATCATCAAATAGCCCACATGATTACGTGTAGCTAGGACTATGTGACCTGTCAAACATACTCACATGACGGGTAGAGTCACGGGACCGGGTGCAAAAAGTTACCCGTGACGTATACCGGGTAGAGCTATTTTTAGACATTTTGTTGTCATACACAGGAAGTGTTGGGGAAATTTCTCGACAAATCATTTCGCGGATATTAAAAGTTGATTCAAGCAGTTAATCATGATAAACACGTAGTTCGGGGAACCATTAAATAACGATCACAAGACTGATTATGTGTTAGCAATTCTGTTTATTCTTGATTTTCTGTTAATTTAGTGTCGCAGACGTAATGTATACAGGATATAAGAAATCTCTATTCCTCAAATTATGCATGCGCGTTGATACTATGTATCTCAGGTTCTTTATTCCTTTATTCATACAGAACTATCACAGAATTAATCTCACCTGAATATCACAGATATAGTATAATATATAGCGTTTCAAATTCAATCTCCATGCCTGAAAAATATACCACGACGTTATTGTACAGTTCATTGTGAGAAGAAAACTATTTTCGCGGAGTTGAAAATGTTTGTTGCAGTTTGAATTTTCACAAATTATGCGCTTTTGAAAATAATGTCGTCTCTACTTGATCCGATATTCACTCATCAATAATATTCCAGTTATATGATGTGTGTCTGTGTATAAACGCGTCTGGACCAGACACTCCAGTGATGGATGTTTGGAGAATCTCATACAAGTGTCTTTCGAGATGAAGTAGTTGAATAGACAAAGGGTCATTTTACTTTTAGTCCATTGGTGCATCAAACATCTATGACTCTGACCTGACAACCTATAATATATGACCGTCCCTTAAAGAATTTCTATTTCCAAGTAATCTTTCGATGTGGATATCTAGTTTTCAGTGTTTAAGGATTGCCGTTCCATTCGTATGCTAAATTTAAACGTGTTACATCGACTAAATACAAAGGGAGTAATTTGGTTTTGCCTGTGTTCGGCTTGTTCGCCCTATTAGTAAATCTGAAGGGATCATTATCGGCACAGCTACTACAGTATTCTCATTTTGGGTGGGGTACATTTTTGTATACAGGGTACATTAAGGTACATATCTGAAATCAGCGTTCGAAATACCTTCCTGTCCGACCACCCGGTACGGGTTATTTTAAACACGGACTGACAGATTCTCAAATTCACCTGCCCGACGGTCGGGGGGTTAAAATGTAGACATGTATATGAATATATTACGTGGGCAGGTAAATTTTGGTCAGGGCTGGCAAGTTTTACATCTAACCAGCCCTGTGCTCTGGCTGAAATTTCTGGGAGATTCATACCCTAATATCTGTAGTACCCGTGCTTACAACGACCCTTTCAACCACAGTATTACATGACATTGGCGTCAAGCAAACATTGTCGATAAGTGTCTAGAAAAGTGATCGTGTATGTTATAATAATGCTGACTGAGGTTCAACGTAAAACCGTACATAAGGCGCCTTGACACATTTACATACAACATTTGTACGTATGACTCAAGGCATGTTACGGTTATAATGCAGGGGAGATTCATGAGGATGGTCACGTACGATTGAGTTTATAGAGACAGAATGAGTCGGGTTTTACACCGCTTTCAATATTATTTCATTTGTGAGATGTAGTTTGTTAACGGACATCTCTTTGTTGAAACAAGCCAACACAGGCATCGTCCTAACGAGTGAGGGAGTTGTTTTACGCCGCACTCAGCAATATTCCAGCTTTATGGCGGCGGTCTGTAGATAATCAAGTCTGGACAACACAGTCCAGTGATAAACAGCATTAGCATCGATCTACTCAATTGGGATACGACATGTGTAAACCATATCAGCCTGACAACCCGATCCCGTTAGTCGCCTCTTACAAGCATGGGCTACTGAAGATAAATTCTAACCCGGATGTTCACGGGTTGGTAGTTACAAACCAAGAATCATAGGAATCCAGGAACCACAATCATTGGATAGTTTCCACCTCAACCAAGTGGACAGCCACCCTGCTTCTTGAAGGACCACATGGTGCTTATTTATTCATACAACATATTTAAGAGGTCATTACATGACAGTTACCCGGGGCTACCATATCAGCCCGAGGGCTGTATTGTAGTCGAGGGCTGATATGACTGGCGGAAGTGAAACTGTCATATTTAAAACTTTTATCATAAACCACATCCTGATGTCACTTGTGTTTTCATTACTTACAACTTCGTCATTCTCTGATGATTCTGTCGGGAGGAGCAGCCAAAACATCGTCGCCAAGATTAGAACTTATACTTCCACCATTGCTTGATCGGACAGCAACTCGAGCAGACGACGCAAGGGACGTAGCTCTAAAATAAACTAGGCTCCGTCTATTGAAGTTTCGAGCGTTTGCGTGTACTCATTACGTACCAGTTTAGAAGCCGGACAATACGGCTGATATGGAATTTTGGCCCTAGGGCTGACAATGCAGATATGCATTTTCGGCCTGGGTGGTCAATATGACATATGCCGACAGCCAGTATTACATGTGCAAAATGGTCAATGACAAGGAAAGACAACCCAATACTTTCATTCATTTATTTACATCACAAGTCATGTCAATATTGGTCCCTTTTAGCATTTTGGTTTGCCAGGAATATGGTCTAAGACTTACAACTGGTGCAGCAGGCAATATCAGAAACTTCTCAGTTGTAATCTTCCACATACGCACGCTCTATTTCTGTAAAGCCTTTCAGTCACTATATGTCTGAAATAGTGCTGATGCACTGCACTTACTTAGCAACCACCTTGTCCAAGTTATGGAATGAATTTCTAGAAAACCACACATGCTCAAGGGCGGATGCAGCCTTTTGAGAAAGGGTTGGGGTGGGGGTACATACTTCAATTCCACCCACGTTTCAATGGTCATTGAACAAACTTTCAGGACAAAAGGGGGGGGGGAGGTACACCCCTGCACACACCCTCTGCATCCGCCTATGAATGCATGTCTTTTGGTGGTGTGGTGGGGATATACCACTTTCAAGAACAAGAACAGTATCTTCAGAATTCATATTGTTTCTAATTTTGCTGCCTGATTTATCTATTTTCATTTCTCATATGTCTATCTCAGCTGTATACAACATAGGACAAAGAACTGGTGATCGAGACTACCACAGACATTTTACATACATATTTTGTACATATCATGACAGATATCATCTTGGTTGTTTTCATCAACCCTTTCTCTATATACATTATAGTACATTTTTACAAGAGGCCTTTGTACAGAGAACATATGGACGATCCTCAATACTCTATGAGCATCAAGCTTGATCAAAATGGTGACTGATTTTAAGTATGAGTGAGTATGGTTTTATGCAGCTTTTAGCAATATTCGGGCAATATCACAGCTGATGACACCAGAAATTGGCTTCACCCATTGTATGGAACTGAACCATGTCTTCGGCATGATGAGTGAACGTTATGAGGCTACTCCACTGCCCCTCACGGTATGAAGAAAGTGTGGCTGTCATCATCACTGTGAATGAAGGTGGTCCAGGAGACTCTCAGCCTGTAGCCACACCAGCATCCCCATCTGAGTGAGAGACTGTCCTAGGGAAGTCTCCATTCCGAGAGGTCACAGAGCATGAAGTAGTTGCTCACCAAGGCTGAACCTTGGTACTGATGAGGTTTGTTTATTGGTCTGGAAAAATCAGTTGTTCTTCTATTTACACTGACCTGAAAACAAAACAAATTTAATTCATATGAAGATATATTTTGAGTGATAAGTCTAGGTGTCAGTGTACTGAGTGGGGGTGGGTATTGCAGAGAATTTTCATATTGCGATATATTGCGATGCGAAAGCTTATATTGCGATATGTATTGCAATATATTGCAAGAAGGTTTTTTTAACAATAAACTACTTATGATCAAGTTAATGCTTTATTTATAAAGCAAAAACACAACAAAATCACTATGCTTCATTAAGCTTTAATAAAAACTTTTAATCATGACAAAATAAGAATATAGATAATATTTAAATGTAATTTTCATCACGATCATTCCCACCACCATTACCACAATTGCCACAATCATCAAGGTTTCCGAGTGTTACGAAGTTTTCCGAATACAAGTCAAAATACCGGTTTTCTATCAGCGTATCCCAATACATATTGTTTTCAGGTCTGAACTGGTTAATACCGGTAAACCGGTTATATTGCGCAGCCCTAGTACTGAGTGAGGAGAGCCCAAAGTGATCAGAACCATCTTAGGGGCAAATATAGGGCTTGAGAACAATCAGCATAGCTAGGTTTGCACTTTTGCAGCTCAATCAGATGATAATTTCAGTACTATATCAGGAGGGTGATTTGGGGATGATCTGAGCCAAGTTATGGTGACTTACTGAGGAACTCTGAGACAGGGTCTTGACCGTCTTCTGACCGGAGGATGCCTGTGATGGTCTTGTTTTCAATGAGTGGGAGGAAAAGCTGGACAAACTCGGGTGTGTAGGGTGGGGCAATCACGTCCAGCACCTGCAGGTCAGGCAGTATGAAACATTAATAGTTACAACATATATCATAATGTTCTACATGTCATAATGCAAAGTATTGGGGCGTCAGCAGTGAATTCCCCAGTACTCATGTTTGTGTCGGTTTTGGCAAAACTAGAGCCGGTTATTAATGACCCAAGTACATGCAAAGTTAATCTCTAATACACATACATGTATAGTCCATTTGACTTCATTTTAGACCAATGAATTGCTCACTAACACAAAATCCAATGTGTTATTCAGCCAGGTGTGCTAGTTGTATGTGTGAAATTGAAATTTCACTGCACATGCTTGTTGATTACCTGGCTGTTCTACTAGCAAGTTGTCCTCCCTCGTAAGAAATAGCGAACAGTGACAACAAAATAATGATCGTTTGTTAAACAACTTTTTATTTCGGATGTCCAAAATTAGGACACAAATCATCAGAGTTGGTGTGTCGATTTCATGTGACTGTGCAAAGTTTGATTTTGTAGCATTTATTAGATTTTGTGTTAGTAAGCAATTCATCGGTCTAAAATGAAGTCAAACGGACTATACTTTGTTAGTCCCACAATCTATACTGCCAATGATTGAGAGTGCATGACACATGATAACATTGGTATTATTTCTTTCCCGACAGTTCTGTCAGTCACCCATTCACATAGAAGCTTAATATAACAGGCAAATTCACATAAGCCTGCTGTAATAGATTTCAAGTGATAATTCCATTTCTTACACACAAAAACACGGAGCAAGTTTTGGGCTGAATCACATAAGATAATTACATTTTCAAAAAGGTTTAATTATCTGGTACTTGTGCATGAATCGCGTGTCTGATGAGGGAAATGTACTTACTGACCCACGATGACAAAGTGTCAGATAAGTGATCTATCTCTATGACAAAGTGTCTGATGACAGACACATGTTTTACCTACCTCTGTGACAAAATGTCTGATGAGTGAGATGTCTGTGTCCCCCTTCTCCAGACACTTCCTGATGTAGACGACTACAGGGAGGACGAAGCCTCGACTCAACAGATGCACCAACCGGTCCAGCACTGTCTTTTTCAACTCCAGCTGCAGCATATAAACGCAGTTACACACACAGCTGTATGCTGTAGGGCATAATACAGAACATGTACAAACCCTCAACACTTAAGCCAGTTCCCAGTTGAAAGTGAAACCTGTCTGTTAATTACTATCGGGAATGTCTACGTATTTGAACACTTCATGATGACCAATTTGACAATATGTAACTCAGCATATTTCACCAGGAATATATTGTCTGATCAAAGTACTCAGGAATCCAGGTCCAGTTAGATAAGTTAATTGCTTCTTCTAACAAGCATAATGTTTATGATGTTGGATGAAAATTCAGGAATGAAATCTTACAAAGCTTAATGGACTTCAGAATCTTTGAATATTAATTTGAAAGGCATTCAGAAAGCCCTCACCCGAACCAACACATCCAGTTCCTCGAATGAAGATTCAAACACGCGAACAAGGAGATCTAAGGCTTTCTGATGTAAAAGGACATGGTTGGTGACAATCTGGAACAACAAAAGTGGCACACATCAGTGTAAAAGCACAATAAATGGTCTCTTGGATCTGGAAAATTTCCAATCAGTACTATCAATGTTAATTCTGATCAGCTAGTTACATTGCAAAGAGTAATGGTTCACCTCATCCACCATGACTAGATGCAGAGGTGTGTGATCTGTGTTGAGCTTGAAGTAGCTGGCATCCGACACTGTGTAGTCCACCCACTTCAACACTCCCATTGACACTACAGGGAATCTGCAACATACCACACCATAAACTTAAAAAGTCAAACACTAAAACAGTCAAATGTGAGGGAATGTATTCTTGGAAACATTGTTCCAAATTGTTGATAATTTTACCAGATTTATCGTTTTAAAGGTTTAGGACACTATGGATGATGTAAAAATATATCTCGGCTTTTCTATTCTATTTAAATTTGAGTGAGTGAGTGAGTGGGTGGTCAGGGCCGTAGTTAACTTTTATTAATAAGGGGGCACCATCCACGTTAAAACAGTGTTATATCAATAGTTTGATGCACAAAAATTAATCTGTAAAAAGATTCTAGGGGGGCAGCTGCCCCCCTGGGCTCCCTACAGCCCTGGTGGGTGGGTTTAGTTTCATGACGCTTTTGGCAATATTTCATCAATATCACGACATGGCACACCAGAAATGGACCTCACACACAGTATTACTCCCACTCACCTGAGACAGGTGAAGAGGGTAGATATGTCTGCTATCAGTTCAGAGGCTCCCTTGTTCTCGGCACACAGGGCTTGCGTCTTCTCCAGAGCCTGGACTGTTGGCTTCAGCTCATCCCTGTTGATTGTTTTCCTGCCTCCCTGATGAAGATGGGGAAGACTTTGTGTAATAATAACAATCTTCATACCATCAACAGTACTGCACAGGTAGTGTACACAAGGTTCCACCATCATCCATGAGTGACCATGGCCACTCTGTGGAGTCTCTATGTGGCTGTGATATACATTGTGTAACAATGTTCCAAGTATAAATTGTACATGTGATATTCAGTGAGGGGCAGGGGAATGTTCCAAGTATAATACATTGAACTTGTAATATTCACTGAGGTTCAGTGTTGTGCTATAGTTATGGGGCGGCCACATCTTAAGGATATGCACGTAGTTGACCGCAGTCGGTGATGAAGGTAGCAGACCCATATCGGACCTTAGTAAACGTAGTTACACGTATTTAAGCGTAGTTCAACGTACATCACCATAGTTATGACCGTACTTTGAACTTCAGCAAACACATGATTTGGCTTTGGTTAGACCAAAAAATCTTCAACATGTTCATAATATCTCTACAGTTTTCTTGAATGCCAAGACCGTACTGTTACCTTGGTTTGAACGTGGCTGACCCTAGTTCTCCCTAGTAGATTGTAATTGACCCAACTGCACCGCTGTGTTGACCGTAGTACACCATGGTAACATGGCACTACAATCAAACTACATTAATCACTACGGTCCAGTAGAACAACAATCAATGTAAGTTGTGACCGCGCCTTTTAAGTGAGTGAGTGGATGTTGCTTTAAGCCACATCAGCAATATTGCAGCTATTCACGGGTCCTATATTTAGAATTGTGCTATAATTAGACAAAGCTCTGGAATGTACGTCAATCCTATAGGGCTGTTCAGTGACTCAGAACTTTATAGAAAGACCTGGAATCTTTGTCTCAGGTATATAAGGGCAGTAACTCTTGCCTCTCATCTTACATTACATCTCAAGTTACAAAAAGACCAACATTCATGTTAAGATCATCTTCACCTCTGATATCTGGGCCATTGTTGCAGCGAGGTGGATATAACCATCATTGTCTTTATTACCATAATCACTGCTCTTGTTATCATACTGCCTCAGAATTTGAACTGCCACTCCATTTTGTATTGCCTTTGTAGTGATTTGTATGAACTTGTAAACTTAGTAAATGTTAGAATACAATTGTTAATTATATCAGATCGCTTTGTTGTTTGTCGGTTTCACACCAAGTTCTCTTATGGACTGATTCCCTGTTAACTTTCAGTTTCAACTTAGAAATCACCATGTAGCACTATTTTGAGCACATCAAGATACGTCCTAGAGAAGCAAGTGAATCCTCAGAGCAGTGAGATTCCTGCACAATTAACATTTCCAGCCCAACATATGTAAGTGCCTTATAGCCATCTGCTCTACATTTTACTGGACAACACATTGCCTTGTTTGTTATTGTAATAATGGGATGAGAGGATGAGGGTGTTACCTTCTTGTGAGTATCGATGACGCTAGCTGCGTATGCCAGGAGGTGGATGTACTTGTGTTTGTGGTCAGGGTTCACTCTTGTACCAGGCTTAAACAATGTGTCAATAAGCAGATCTGAAATTGTCACAAAGTAACACTGTCATTCATCATGCACTATGACCATGAAAGTGAAACTTTCACAAAAAACATTGTCCTAGTGCTATGGTTCACTATGTTGTTGAAGACAGAACAAACATCAGCCTTTGTCTGAAACTACATGAAGTTAATATCAACTTAGTGGGTTACTCAATGTTGCAGTCAGCAGCCATTTACAGCAACCTGGGAATAAATCAGTTACATGTGTTTCCATGTCATTTGTTAGGCGGACCAAGTAGTTGTACTTATGATTCCAATAACTTTAAAAAGTAGAAAACCCTATGGTGGACTACATTTGAAGGCTTGTGTTGCAATATGGAGCTGTGACATGCAGTAATTTCCTGCTACCTCAGTCATGTTTGAGGAGGACGAACTACTCACCTAGAAAAGCAGGGACTCGGATGAGTTCAACTGGTGGAGAGTCATGTTCGGAATACATCCTGAATAACTGCAACGATGAAAAAGGAAAGATGCAGATTATAAAGGTGCAGTTAGGAGTGTTTGAAAATGATTTTATAACACATACTGAATATTAGGTGTTTACAGATTTATTGGTGAGAAACTTTATCCACAAACAATGTCATATTTCATCATTTTGTTCTACATTTTACGCTGCAGCCAACAGGATCCCATGCACATCATCCAGCAAATAACTAATACTAGTAACAGAATGAGCAAAATCTTGCACTGTTTTGATGAGTAATCACCCAAATCACAGAGCCTGATTATCAGATCCTTAGTTGCCCATTATGGCAACCATTAAAATGCCGAGGAAACTATTCAGTGGTGCAAATAAAGGTAAGGTATGTGCTTGTTACCACGGAGATGTCTGCTGGGTTCAGTGCCTGCCTGGACAACATGGAAGACAGAGCTTGGCAGGCTCGGGGGTAGGTGGCGGCGCCACTCAGGGCCATCGTGATGGGTGTCACATCAAGACCTCTACAACATCAAGCAAGACTCAGAACTCTGAACTGACATTTGAGGAAGGGAAGTAACTCTTCTAATGCCCTGTTTTCTCCATCTTATATAATTTTATACATCATGTTATAAGCCCACAATCATCTTAATGAATCTCTTGTAACCAGTAATGTAAAGTAATTGCAAACATAGCATAACAATGATCAAGTTGCTGCAAACATACTTCTCACTGGCACACTTCTGGAGCTCCTGGCACAGTCGCCGGATGTTGGAGCCGCCCTTGAGTTCCTGAGACAAGATGTGCATCAGCACCTGACTGTACAGGTATGTGTGCTCTCCATGACACACCATTTTCTGAAAAATTAACCAAAGATGTACCTATTATTCCAAAGTGACCTTGTATAAAACTCAATTATGACCTTTGATTTTGAAAGCTAATTGGATGACATCAGAAAGGAGGCAAATAACTGCACAAAAGCAAGTCATCCTCAAACATTGTCAGTTGGTCGTTTGTAATGAAGTGTTACAATACATTTTATATGTAAACTAAGAGTATACTTCAAATGTTAAAGTGATGATAGGGTACCCTAGTGGTTAAAGCGTTCACTTGTCCCACTGATGATCAGGGTTTGATTCCCATTTTTGGTGTTCCCTGCCATGATATTGCTGGAATATTGCTAAAAGTGGCATAAAACTAAACCCACAAACTCAAAGACAACGTTCTTAAAACAGAATGTTTAAATTGTTTCAATTTTCAAGCATTCTTTACTCAACCGACCTTGGACTGACTGACTGACTGACTGAGTTTAGTTTTACGCCGCTTTTAGCAATATTCCAGCAATATCACGTCGGGGGACACCAGAAATGGGCTTAACACATTGTGCCCATGTGGGGAATCAAACCTGGATCCTCGGCGTGACGAGCCAACGCTTTAACCACTAGGCTACCCCACCGGCCCAACCGACCTTGGAAAATATACCTGTCATGCTAACACACAGTACTAATGCATGCATAAACACACTATCTGAATACAGAGATGGCCAAACCTTCACAACAAACACATATACTCTCATGTTAAAGTGAGTTGTTACGAAGTAACCGATATATAGCTGGAATATTGCTGAGTGCGGCGTAAAACTAAACTCACTCACTACTAAGTAGCCATGGCAACATCTTGACTATCTTACTGTGAACTCTGGCAGATTCTTCTCCAAGCCATCCTCCCCAGCCTCGACAAAGCTGGATATAGATGTTCTCAACACTCTCGAGAACACCTCAATTTGATGGCATGCTGTTGACACACTGGTTATCTCCCCTTGGAAACCAGCATCAGATATCAACTGAAAGAGACATGACTTAACAAATAAAATCTACATTCGACAAAAATGGCCAACAGGCTAAATATAATTGAGAAAAAGAGGAAAATGTAAAAACTCATGGACATTCACTTATACTCCAAAATGTAGCAACACTAAATTAAAAAGTAATTGAGTAAAATGCATCAAATGGACATTTTAGAGGTTTCAGGTATTATTCCACTAAAGAACATCATCTTTGATCTTAGGCTGATTTCCTTGACAGATCTAGAACATACACCATACAAACATAGAGTAAAACTTTCATCTTGAGCCATAGACATGGTCATAGTGAGCTTTATAACTCATCTCAGTTATAATTATATTTCTGGCAGTGTCAGAAGCCTAAAACAATAACGTCTTGTAAGCTTTATAAGGAAAATATCAGTTTTCAGCCATTTAAATATTTTCTTATCAATTTTCTGTTTTCTTTGAACATATAATCTGACATGGTCAATGAGCCAAAAAGGGACATAACTCTTATTTAGTGTGCTGGCACTGTTACTGGAGGGCAAGATGAAACAATCTCTATAATTAAAGAAAAACAAGATTTCAGAAGACAAAATATTGAAATCAAATGCCAGTATGAGATTTTCATGTCTGAAGTAGACGTATGAAAGCATGTCATCAAAATAAACTTCCAACAAACAAGATTTGACAACATGTCTGCTGATATCCTGTGACTGAATGACCTGCCTTGATCGTGAAGTTGAGCATGAGGCAGTCTGGGTATTCTTCAGCAAGCTTGTAGAACAAGGATCGCCATGTCGGGTATTCTATCATCTCGGCCAGCCAAGATGGGGTCTAGAGGAACACAGACATGAATAGGAAACAACACAGTTCATCTAACATGTCAACAGCTGTAGGGTTACTTTAATGGGGGTAAAAATGATAGCTCTCAACTTTTGAGAAAGCTGACTAAATGAAAACTGTAAGGTTTGGGAGCTTTAAGCATTGTTAAGTACCACAAAGTGATGACTTAACAAGGATAACATATTTCATGTACACAATTTCTATACAACCTCTGAATGTCAAACCTACGACATTCTAAAATAGATTTCTAAAATTAACAAGAACATAAAATGACAATAAAATGAAACAAAAACATGATAATATACCTCCTTCAGATTTTATAAAGTCTCATCCAAAGTTTGTTAATCTGACACATGGCAACAGCTGTAGTACTCACCTCACCCTCTTGGGTGAAAATGGAATCTGCCTTCTTTGGATCAAAGTGTTTGATAATCATCAGCTTCAGATGACTTTCTACCAATTCTTGAACTTCATTTATGCCAACACCTGCAATTGTGGTATCAGAGATATTACAAAGGTGACAGTACAGCAGGGATGCAAATATCAGTTTGTCTAAGACGTACGTGTTAAAGCTATCCAAGAGTTAGCAAAATCTCAGTGTTTATAGTCGGGTTTCCATGTATGTTACCATGATTCAGGCCAAGTCATGTTTCGTCCTTGTATAATACTAATATCAGCTACAACATCCAAATAGGCTACTTATACTATTTTGAACAAGATACCTATTTTTCCAAAGCTGCCTGTTAGGGCACTTAGTTTGAAATCCTAGATAAATTCCTAGTTTTACAACCAAGCAACAGTTTTGAACGTAAACAGCATTGATTCATGTGGTCCGATGAGCACTGCATCTATACCCAGCAATTTTAGACCATGATAGAACAACCACTATCGTCTCCTGTCCGATGTATGGTCAGTTTTAGAAAATTATCCTGATAACAGCATCTTCTTTCATCATGATAATTCCACAGTCATCAGCAGAGGAATTTATCAGGGCTAACCGCTTCACTTAGTACCGCAGAGCGCACCCATCTCGCAAACAAGACACGGTAGGCCATCTCACGTACACGTTACGTCTCTGACTGGTCATACAATGAAAGTGTAAAATATTAGATATATTGTAGGCCTTCAACCTCTTTTTGCTGACACAATGTGCCTAGGCGTCAGAATTTTATCGTAAAACAGCACCTCAATGGGGATTTCAGTTAGAAGAGGTCCCCTGCAACCAATGCTTGTCATAAGTATAACTCAACAGATCCAGTATCAGGCTTAGTGACTTGGTTAATGGTGTGGCATTGTACTCCAGTCCCGTTGGATGTTGATCATGATATCAATCACTGTATTTTGGTCCTAACTCAATTAATGCAGGATGCTATCACTCTGCTGAATGCAGCATTTAACATGTTTAAAGGAAATAATTTGTCTCATGTTAAAAGTGACAGCACCACTTTCACAAAGGACTGACCTGCTTGTATAAGCCAGTCTGCCAAAACATTGACAGTCTGAGCTATTGCTAAGTAGTTGTCTGACAACAGTTCCACAACCCTCTCTGGAGAACCACCTGCTTGCAAAAATCTGTCAACAAGAATTTTTAAATCATCTTGACAATGTGCATCCTGTGTATATGTAATGTCGATATTTCCACATCTGAGCACAAATTCAAAAGCAGCATGCAGTTGATACAAAAAGAAAGAATGATAAACCTGCAAAACATTAATCAGGAAACAGACATTGGGAAAATGTCAATACAGCTTTTAAGCCAAGTTGTTTACAATGCTATGGAGAATCTTTATTGTCTCTTTATCCTTTTAAGTTAGACATTCAGAGTATTTAGCCACATGCAGTAACTTAATGATTTGCCAAATTCCACCAATGGGCCACACAACTGGAAATGTGGTCCTACAACAATATATCCTTTTGAAGCATTGTTTAATAGATTGTTTTGACTTTATCTTTAAAGACATATTGAATTGTCCCTTAAAGAGAGCTGTCGGCATCTTGCATACATTTTAAAATTAGACCTTTATTAGAACTTCCAGGTCTGTGTTTCAACTTGTACACGACCCAGGTTAGAATCAATATTTAGTAACCCATGCTTGGTGTAAAAGGCGACTAACAGGTTCTAATGGGACTTGGTTGACACATGTACCTAAATTGCGTAGTCAATGCTCATGCTGTTGATCACTGGATTGTTTGGTCAGAGACTTGATTATTTACAGACCGCCGCCATATAGCTGGAATATTGCTGAGTGTGGCTTAAAACTAAACTCACTCACTCACTTAACTTGTACACATACCTTTTGAGCACTGTGAAAATATTGGGCTCCATAATGTAGTCCTTGCTACTAAAAGATTCAAGACAATCTTTCTTTGTGGCTTGTCTCTCTTCCTCGTCATCCTCCATGAAGGGATCCATCTCAGGTGACTACAGGACAAATAATGTGTGAATGCTAACCACAAGAAATAATAATTTGTATTAAATTGTAACAGAATGTATGCATTTAGGGAACACATGTAATAATTGGATATCTGTGATGATCAAAATATAACTTCAGGTGAAAATTGTTGCTGAAGTCACTCGGAGATTGGTATCTACATGATCTGTAGAATACTGTTGATACATGATATTCAATACATGAGTATTTATTGAACACCTCTGTTATTTAGTTCACTTCATTGATGTATCATTTTATCATTTCGACTTATACATTTTCTTACGTGACCCCTTACTCACAGAAAAGCATAAAACAAGCATGATCATCATGACATACCGACTAAAACAAAGTGAACGCAAATAAATAATGATGATTATGAAGAAAAATAATTATGATAGACATGATGAAAATCCTTCATAAGCATAATCATGATAACAAGTCAAACAGTCTGTAGTCATGGGGTGCCGCTGATAAGTGAGACTGGACGCAGGATTCAAGGAAGAGTAAATTTTCAGTCGTGTTGCAACAAGGATCAATCATACAGCCGGCACGTTTCATTTTATTCATTATTTGTGTTTAGACGAGATAAAGAAAATTCATTTATCAACAATACCCCAACATCGTCCTCTGACATTCCCTCGACATGGTCCTCTTCGTAATCAGACATCTTTTAGTGGAATGAGATGCGCTTAACTCATACAGTAGCGTTTGAAATCCTGCAGGGAGTAATTTTTTAAGAATACGCGGCCATGACAGATTGAGAAACTTCTAAATTTTGGATTTACCCGGATACAACATAAAATCCGAATCGGCATCTGAAGCGGACATGGAGATATTTACACCTATCAAAATCAGGTTTCGTAGTACATATGCATGAATAAAACATGCAGATGCTGGAAAATTAATAAAAGCGTACATATGAGAATAGATGTTTGCTTTTTGAAAGGTCATCCATGCTTTAGATCCAACCCAAGACCTCAACCAAATACGCCCAGCTTATTTCCGAGCTTCCCGAAGACCCCAAACGAATAAGCGTATCCTAGCCGACATGTGGGACAGCCAGCGATAGCATCAACACTGAGATGTAAATAAAGAACGTCAAAGATCATGTCATCCTCCTCAAATCAAAGCCCAAAGCTCATTTTAGAGGCTCTTCGTATTTTGACAACCCCGGAAAGACAAAGTCATACAGATTGTAAGTACAAAACCTGAGAGACGTAATCACTGGGCCTAACTGAAAATATGATTATTGTAGACTGCGTGTTACAATATGAAGTTTGTTTATTTGAGTTGTGTATTGATCGAATGGAAAGACAAGGTTACAAAATTCGTTTTCTTTATAGTAATTGATAACTTGTCATGTATCTTTGTTGACGTGAGTTAAAATTGTTAAAGGGCTTGAGCAGGTTATGAAATGAATACGTTTTTATATTTTTGCTACCATTTTCAATTAAGAGGAAAATATATCAAATGGTAAACTGGTTATTTTGGGGTATTAACAGCAATGACTAAATGTTATTGACTCCTACTGGCAGCCAGTTATATGTCATCTCCCCTCAAAATAATCAACGGTATCATGGGAGATTAGGTTTTCGGACATCATACGGTTTTGGTTGGTTGGTTGTTTATTGCTGCACTCAGCAATATTCCGGCTATATGGCGGTGGTCTGTAAATAATCGAGTCTCGACTAGACAATCCAGTGATCAACAGCATGAGCATCGATCTATGCAATTTGGATAAGATGACATTTGTCAACCAAGTCAGCAAGCCTTAGACCACCCAATCTCATTTGTTGCCCTTTACGACAAGCATCAGTGGTAAAGGGCTGTAGACATATTCTAATTTATGTCTTCACGGGTTCATACGTTTTTGGATGGCAGTGCATACTTGGGCTATAACAAAGAATGTTGTGTCACACAGACATCGTAAATTCTTGAATCATGGCTTGTGTTTAGAATAAAGTTATCTGTCATAAGTGAAGTGATTTATAGTCATTCATGTGATTAGAAAGGCACCAACAAATGTTATATGTCTAAAACTCTTAGTTCGAAGATATGTGATTGAAATGTGCATGTTGAAGGGAATGATTGTTCTAAACAATAGAAGTATCTTTTTCAGCTGCTTCATCTGATGGAGAAAGCCAATTTGACCACCTGCTCCGAACTAAACTCCAGTCAATCAACGGAAGTCTGCAATCTGACACATTCTCCAACCTGCCATGTTTGTCGGTCCTACAGACTCAGACAACTGTGTCAGACACCGACAAGTCAGATGTCCGATGGAAGTACACGTCTGTGTGTCTTCATTTACTGCTTCTGCTGCAGAAACATCTGATTCAGGCTTCCAGAGATTTCCAGGAGGAGATGAAGAAGAACCCCCCTTCCATGAAGACGCCACACCAAGTTCCTCCACTTTCTCCTGATGTCCTCAGTATTGAACAGGAGAAGACAGTCTTGACCACTCTGCAGTTCACTGTTTGTCTTGGAATTTGCCCAAATGTTGATAAAGGTGTTGGAATTCCTGTAGAGAGGAGATCTGGATTTGGGAAGCTTCTCACTGGCAGTAAATTAAAGGAAGTATCGCGAGAAGAACGTTATGCTAGGCTAGGATTGTGTGGACGGATTTTTTCAGCCTGTCTGAATGTTCCGTCTCTATCAGCTTTAATTCTTTCACGGCATCTCTGTGATTTTTTAGCCATTCTTCTCCAGTTGAACCACTGCCCAGGGATAGATGGTGGTCAAACGAGTAATGTAAATCCTGCTTCAGGTTCCAAAAATCAGACTGTTGAAGGGAATCTGAAGGACAATACTATCAGTTGTCCACCAAACAGGACTGTGGGTGAATTAGGAGATTTAGCAGATTCAAGTACACACATCAACCCAAAGGTTTTCAACTCTCAGGATCCCCATCCATGCTCTGTAGATTCATCATTAGTGACAGGAGACACAGCTGAGGTAAATAAAAACAATGTTCAGGTTCAAATGATAAGTCAAATACTGTGGCTGGTAGCTGTCAGGAAACTGTACATCAGGAGGATGAATATCTCAGTATGTTAATGGGTGAGTTGAGTGTTGTGGAGACAGAGCAGGAGTTTGCTGAGGCCGCTCTACAGAAGCTGATGACGAGGATCAGTCCTGCGATGCTCGTGAGAGACTTGATGATGCTGCAAGGGGCAGCCAAACCCAAGACAGGTGGAAAGGTAAGTATAAGTAAAACAGGTACAGGTGTCAAAGTCGTCATGGTGTTCATCGATAAGAATTGCAATAGTTGTGAGCCAATATGATATTTATCTCTTTACTTACTTTGCATTATTGCCTAGGATCACGATGGGCTTGCACCACACCATGCAGTCAGCTGATTTGCTGTGATATCGCTGAAATACTCTTCACGACTCACCCAAGCTCTCATCCATTCATTGATGAATATTAAGCATCTCCACCATTCTACAACAAGGAGAACTAATTGTAGAATGCCTTTAGTATTGTGTAATTTTAATTTGGTTTAACATGTAATTTTTTGTGACAGTCTAAAGATAAGGGTAAGCAGCTGCCTGTGTCTCCCCCGTGGCTGAGACAAGTGTGTGGTCGACTGATGACGGACATCTTGATGCGTCCCAAGGGTCTTCTGCATGTGCTGCAGGGTATGCTTCCCCCAGGACCAGGTGAGACGTTACAGACTCTAGTATTATTTTCCAGTTCAACTTGAAGTGTTAAAAGACAGTTGATCTCCTAACCTATTATTAGGTTGTTGGGGGGATATAGAAATGAGTTCCGTCCATCCATGTGTCCGTCACACTTTGTCCGAAGCATATCTCCTAAACTATTCATGATAGCTTAACCAAACTCCGTACACATGTCAACCATGAACCCTAGATATGCCTTTTGGGGGTTAGACCCAGATATGAATTTTATTTTTTGCTGTTTCCATGGAAACATGACTTAGGCTGTGACTATGAGGATGTCATCTTGTCCGAGCAGATCTTCCAAACTATACGTGCTAGCTTCATCAAACTTGGTACATATGTCAAGCATGATCCATAGATGTGCCATTTGATGGTTAGACCCAGATATTAATTTTATTTTTGCTGTTTCCATGGAAACATCACTTAGGCTGTGACTATGAGGATGTCATCTTGTTGCATTTCCATGGCAACAAGATCAGATCTTAAAAACTTTCAATACTCCCCTTCCACTTAGCTATATACACTCCAAAACATTTGACATAATCATAACTAGTAGACATATTCATAAAGAGTATTTTGCTGTTGCGGGGGATATTGATGACCTTGTCTACTTGTTGGTATTTGTGTCACTTTGTATACTACTGGTATAAATAATGACAATTTCCAAGTAAAACTTGATTATGAAAATGTCTACATCTGCATGTAAAAGGTTCCACTATTAGACTGAACTAAAATAGTTAAAGCGCTCTTCATTTTTGACTCTAAACATGTGCTTTATTACATGTGTACATATTTTGTATATGCTGTTTCTGTATACTTTTATATAATAAATACATACTTATTTCATTTAATATTGTGTTGTTATGTTAGGCCCCTGTAAAATTGTGTTGGGCAGAGTTCCTGTGGGTAAAGTTCCTATGGGCAGAGTTCCTGTGGGGAAAGGTCTGTACACCAAAAGGTCGTGTTAAGTGCTTTTTCAGCAGTCTGAAACTTGATTACTGTTTCCATGCAGCACCATCAGGAGCAAGAGTGGCAGATTCCGTGGACTGGCAGAGAAGTCAGGCCATCGCCATGGTGATAGCACACTGCCCCATGCAGACAGCCTCAGTGGAAGAATACTACAAACACATCTCTCCCCAGGTGATTACATGACGGTGGTCTGTTGTTGTAACAATCTCATTAAAATTATCTTCCACACCAGTAGGATATCTCTGCTTGATGATCTGAAAAATGCTTCAAAGGAGTGAGTGAGTAAGTTGAGTTTTACGCTGCACTCAGCAATATTCCAGCCATATGGCGGCGATCTGTAAATAATCAAATCTGGACTATCCAGTGATGAACAGCATGAGCATGAGCATCGATCGGCGTAAAACTCACTCACTCCTATAAAAGATTTGTCGGATCATCAATAGGAGGTTATATCTGATAGATATTCAAATCAGCCTTTAGCATCATCAAGGCTTCTCAGTATGAGTGCAGCATTCAGAGCAGCATGTTATATTTTGGATGTCAACAATGCACGGAAATGTGCAGTTCTGAATGGAAATAATAAAGGAAGCTTTTTTAAAGGAAGCAGTTTTGGTGATTTTGTATGCACCACTGATCTCCTAGTCGCATCAAAAGAATACTTGTACATGTATTTTTATTCATTGTCTTTTTTTTAAATTGAAATGTCTGAATCTTGAATCTATTGATGGAATTGTCAGATCTGCACACAGGGAGGTATCATGTTTGAGTAAATAATACAATTGTGTTAGTGAGTGAGTGAGTTTAGTTTTACGCCACACTCAGCAATATTCCAGCTATATGGCGGTGGTCTGTAAATAATCAAGTTTGGAACAGATAATCCAGTGATCAACATCATGAGCATCGATCTATGCAATTGGGATACGATGACATATGTCAATCAAGTCATCGAACCTGACCACCCGATTCCATTAGTCTGTAATTGTTTATTGTCTTTTACAATAGCCATGAAGATCCGGGTGAGAATTGGTCTTTAGCAACTCATGCGTGTCGTCAGTGGCGACCATAAATACTGTGGAGTTTGGTGTTAAACAACAACCAACCAACCAATCAATTTTTTACAACATATGTTAACTCGATTTTTCTCCAATATTATTGGAAGCTTTGCAGAGGGGATTCACAGACTTAAAGAACCACTAAACTTTGTTTTTTGTTACTCTTTTAACCATTACATATGAAAGATTTGTGGTTAGTCTTATGCGGAACACCAAATTTATTCTTTAAAAACTTGTGGTTAATTAATACCGAGCGATTAAAAGTGGCCAAAAAGTCGCCTGCTTCCCTCTCGCCCGCCAACGAAACCACAGACAGGTTACGTAACTCTGTCGCCAGAGCACTGCAGTGGCGTCATATGAGGAACGATTTTCAGTTAGTTGTATAGAAAGTGTGTAGCACGCTCATCATTTTGATGATTTCGACATGAAGCATGACATGCCGAATTGTTGCTTTGTCCTCAATTGCTCCTAGGGGTCGGGTGATGGTGTCACCATGCACAGATTTCCACAGGACCCCGCAGTTCGTGCTAAATGGGTTATGTTTGTGAGTGCGGTTGGCGGCGTTGTGGGAAGCCTGAAGCGATATCTTACTTGTGTTCAGATCGGCTCACGAAGTTAAAGAATCAAAACTACTTACTAGTTAAAGTAAAATATGTATATGATTGATGACCATAAAGATTTTCCATAACACAACTTGTAACATAACGATTTCTTCCTCGGAAGTGAGGTTGTGGTCGAAGTAACAATAATATTGTAAGTAGTATTATATTGACACCCACCTCGCTGCCAGGAGAGAAATTGTTATGTTATACGGCTATGTCATGCAAAATCCTATTGGCCATCAATAAAATACATATTTTACTACCAGTAGAAAGTAGTTTTGATTTTGTAACTTTCGGTGAAAACAAACCTAAATAGCATTTATCCACAGACTGGCGGATGTTCCGACAGAGCGCCCGCCATTTTGAAAATCGTAAAGTCTGTTAGAATTAATGAGATTATAGTTTGTTTTCATCAAGTTAGAAAATCAAAACTACTTTCTACTCGTAGTTAAATATGTATTGGAATCATAACCAAAAGGATTTTGCATGACACAACTTATAACATAGCGATTTCTTCCACGGAGGCGAGGTGGGGGTCGAAGTCACAATACTCTTGCGATAAATTTCTTGCTACATTCACATGGTTAATGTCCACTCACCAGTATGTAGATACTAGTCAGTCAATGTCGTCTTTATATTTGGTCTTATAATCCTAATTAGTTTATTATCACACTTGTATGCATTTTGAAACTAAATAAAAAGCAGACGATCTGCTGATACTTATAGTGAATTTATAACAGAACTGTAATATCTAGACATTTTATAGTTTGCCAATGTGAATCATAATTGGCAGCACACACACCCTAGTGCATGTTGTCTGTCTCATTACACTTCACGGTGAAAACAATGATTCTGTTGAATGCTACGACAAATGAATAAAAACAAAATGCAAATATTAAAATTAAAACAGATTAAAGTTATAGGAACAATATCAGGCCATTACCTTGTTTGAGGAATGTATCCATCAATATCCACAAAACTGTTCAAAATGATGTGTCTTTTAACAGTTTAATATACGAAAAAGTGATAAATCTTTTCAGGTATTGGTGTATAGTCTCATTGGTCACCCAAGATAGCACACCTGGCAACTAATTGCATAATGTCCGCCTTTCATTAAAACAGTAATTTAGTTAGCCAATAATGGGCAATCAATCAATGTATTGCCGGTTAATCCTTTGAAAGAAGGGCGTTATTTTTACGCTTGACACCGACACGACAGAGTGTATTCAGTATAGATTAGTAAATCTACATACATAAACACTACCTTTTGACAATCCGCTGTGTAAGATAAAAGTAATTAATCAATCAGCGTGTTATCGGTTAATCCTTTGATCGATGTTTATAATGTTGAATATTTACTCCAGACACAAGAAATGCCAAATGGGAACCTTTGTCGGGTAATCTAAGTGTGTTACCACTAATTATACCTGTTATAAATTCATTAACTGACCATCAAGTGAATGATGACAAATAACATGTGTAGGTTTATACCACCTAACACGGGTTACAACAAGGGAGTATTAATTGCTGTATTGCATGTGAAAACTTATGGGCCGACACTGTTTGAGAATACAAACAGATTTTTACATGACATGATTAAATATCGAGGTAAAAAACACAGAAATGGGATCAATTTGGATCAGTCATTATACAAATAGGGCCCTACTGACACCAATCAATTGTGACAGAAGCGTCTATGAAAACAAGTTGTAACTTCGGAAACTAGGCAAAGCAGGAGACAAAATTAAATGCCAGTAGATTGTGAGAACATATAGCTTTCATTTTTCCACAACAATTGTCACGATTTCAGGTTTATACAAGCCTGTAAACAAGATAATTTACCCCTAAAATGTAGATGAATTCTGCATCGGCCCTCAAAGCTATTCCTCATATGGCGTCACAGAGTTAAGCTACCGGCTCTGATTGGTTGAAATTTAGATTCGCGGGTGAGAATTGTGCACTGTTGTCAAAAAGGTCGATTTAAGTCAATTAAAGGTCGAAATGAGTAGTTTTAATGACAGGGTTTCATTTATAACGATGCCAGTTAGTGATTTATGTATTTTTAACCCCTAGGGTTTATGTGACCTTTAATATCAAATCATGCTGTCATGAAACAAGTCAAAGATAGAGTATTATGTCAATGAAGAAGAGAAATTATACCAATTAATCAACAGGTGGCAAATTACTTACATACTTTAAATTATGGCGCTACTTCATTGTAACCTTGGGGCGGTGGGGTAACCTAGTGGTTAAAGCGTTCGCTCGTCACACCGAAGACCCGGGTTCGATTCCCCACATGGGCAAAATGTGTGAAGCCCATTTCTGGTGTCCCCCGCCATAATTTTGCTGGAATATTGCTAAAAGCGGCGTAAAATCAAACTCACTCACTCATTCACTCATTGCAACCTCAGTGTGTGATGTCATATATTAGCACTGTGTGAAATGTCACTACAGGGTAGGATATATGGCCCCAGCACATATTTATCAGTATCTTGGAACAAATTGTTCAGAAACCTACATAAATTATATTTAAGGTAAATGAAATTAACTTTACATTCATGCAACACTGTTTCGCTATGTTTACATGTAGATTTTTAAAATACCAGTATTGGGTAAGGTTATCTGTTTTGAATACAGAATAGTTGACACCATTAACACTATTTATGTTTAGTCTCTATGGTTTCATATGCACAACTTACTTACAGAACAAAATGGGTGCTAACACTTCATTTTGGTGATGAAATAAATTCATTTGTTAAATGTTTTATGAGTTTTGATAACACTGGATAAAATATAACACCAACCTTCGTAACTAGAAATGGAAGTTAACAGTATTGTCCATATGAATACTGCCTCATCAAAACTTTTAGAGTTTGTGCTCCATATTAATATAACTATATTCCAGTGTTTACACTTTCAGATAAGAGGCCTGCTTCATCACAGTGATCCTAAGGTTACTCAGAGGTTTCTGAGGGTGATCGTGACCCTCATTAAGGAGATGACCAGTCAGTATCCATCACTGGGACAACAGCACCTGCTGGACCCCCTGGTGTCTCCGCTACAGCAGTGTGTGGACAGTCATGGTGAGTGAGTGAGTGAGTGTAGTTTTATGCAGCTTTTAGCAATATTCCAGCAACATCACGATGGGGGACACCAGAAATGGGTTTCACACATTGTACCCATGTGGGGAATCGAAATCCGGGTCTTCGACGTGACGAGCGAACATGGTGAGGAAGGTGTCACAGGTGCAATTGATTGATGCAGATGTCTGTTCCTGATCTTTCTTTGTAGAATTACTTTGACTAAGTCGCTTGTCATGAGAGGATAGTGTTTAATGTGCCTGTTTATTGTTATTCTTAAGGTACATCAGTGACTTCCAAGATACAGGTGGTAGCATGTGGCAAGACTTTGACCCGATGTATAGAAGATATCTACAAGGTAGGGATCTCTAAACAGTCATCCAGGTTGGTAAGAACAGGATTCAATTAATGTCAGATTTGCCTACCTTCAGCTTGACTAAATATGTAGATGGAATCGCAGGTTAACTCTGATTTGTCCTCACTGTGCCCATGTTTACTAAAGTGGTAAACATCTATAACAGGATTACATACTAGATCAGGATATATAATGATAGCACTATTTTCCATGTGGCACCAAACTCCTCACTGTACTGTGTTGCAGGTGTATGTGATCAGCACGGAGGCCAGGGACTGTCTCTGGCCAGTCCTCCGTCGCTATGTGGCAGTTCTCTTCCAGCTGTACTTCAGCAGCAAGGAGGGCGTGTCACACCTCAGGTGGGTACGTAAGGGATGCAGGCCATGTGGAAACATTCAGTTGGTCTGTGATTTGTCTTATCAAAAAAAATCTTCCCATCCTTGGATCAGTCAACAGTCAATAAAGCAGGTCCAGCAAGTCACTGAACATGTGATTTAAGTTCTTTTAATATGTAATCAGGTTGGATGTGATCTTGATCATGTAGATCTAGTATGGTCATATTGCCATCTATTGGTTTGTCCATTAACTTACTGTTATGTTACTGTATTGTTGCTGTAATTATGCTGTAATGTTGCTAAAATGTTACTGTAATGTTACTGTAATGTTCCAGTAATGTTGCTGTGATGTTGCTGAAATGTTCCAGTAATGTTGCTGTGATGTTGCTGTAGTGTTGCTGTGATGTTACTGTAATGTTACTGTAATGTTGCTGTGATGTTGCTGTAATGTTACTGTAATGTTGCTGTGATGTTACTGTAATGTTGCTGTGGTGTTACTGTAATGTTGCTGTGGTGTTACTGTAATGTTGCTGTGATGTTACTGTAATGTTGCTGTAATGTTACTGTAATGTTACTGTTGTGCTGTAATGTTACTGTAATGTTGCTGTAATGTTACTGTAATGTTGCTGTAATGTTGCTGTAATGTTGCTGTAATGTTACTGTAATGTTGCTGTAATGTTGCTGTAATGTTACTGTAATGTTGCTGTAATGTTACTGTAATGTTGCTGTAGATGTTGCTGTAATGTTACTGTAATGTTGCTGTGTAGTGTTTGCTGTAATGTTGCTGTAATGCTGTAATGTTGCTGTAATGTTGCTGTAATGTTGCTGTAATGTTACTTCAATGTTGCTGTTATGTTGCTGTAATGTTGCTGTAATGTTGCTATAATGTTACTGTAATGTTACTGTAATGTTGCTGAAATGTTACTGTACTGTAGTGTTGCTGTGATGTTGCTGTGATGTTACTGTAATGTTGCTGTAATAATGTTGCTGTAATGTTACTGATTTTTGCTGTAGTGTTGCTGTGATGTTACTGTAATGTTACTGTAAATGTTGCTGTGATGTTGATGTAATGTTGATGTGATGTTACTGTGATGTTGCTGTAATGTTGCTGTGATGTTGCTGTAATGTTGCTGTAATGTTGCTGTGATGTTACTGTAATGTTGCTGTGATGTTACTGTAATGTTGCTGTGATGTTGCTGTAATGTTACTGTAATGTTGCTGTAATGTTGCTGTAATGTTGCTGTAGTGTTGCTGTAATGTTACTGTAATGTTGCTGTGATGTTTGTTGCTGTAATGTTACTGTAATGTTGCTGTGATGTTACTGTATGTTACTGTTGCTGTGATGTTACTGTAATGTTGCTGTGATGTTGCTGTGATGTTACTGTAATGTTGCTGTGATGTTGCTGTAATGTTACTGTAATGTTGCTGTGATGTTGCTGTAATGTTGCTGTGATGTTGCTGTAATGTTACTGTAATGTTGCTGTGATGTTGCTGCAATGTTGCTGTAATGTTGCTGTGATGTTACTGTAATGTTGCTGTGATGTTGCTGTAATGTTGCTGTGATGTTACTGTAATGCTGCTGTAATGTGACTGTAATGTTGCTGTGATGTTGCTGTAATGTTGTAATGTTACTGTAATGTTACTGTAATGTTGATGTGATGTGACTGTAATGTTGATGTGATGTTGCTGTAATGTTGATGTGATGTTGCTGTGATGTTACTGTAATGTTGATGTGATGTTACTGTAATGTTGATGTGATGTTACTGTAATGTTGCTGTATGTTGATGTGATGTTACTGTAATGTTGCTGTGATGTTGCTGTAATGTTGATGTGATGTTGCTGTAATGTTGCTGTGATGTTGCTGTGATGTTACTGTAATGTTGCTGTGATGTTGCTGTAATGTTACTGTAATGTTGCTGTGATGTTGCTGTAATGTTGATGTGATGTTACTGTAATGTTGATGTGATGTTACTGTAATGTTGATGTGATGTTACTGTAATGTTACTGTGATGTTGCTGTAATGTTGCTGTGATGTTGCTGTAATGTTGCTGTGATGTTGCTGTAATGTTACTGTAATGTTGCTGTAATGTTGCTGTAATGTTGCTGTAATGTTGCTGTAATGTTGTACTGTAATGTTGCTGTAATGTTGCTGTAATGTTGCTGTAATGTTACTGTATGTTGCTGTAATGTTACTGTATGTTATGTTGCTGTAATGTTACTGTATGTTGCTGTGATGTTGCTGTAATGTTGCTGTATGTTGCTGTAATGTTACTGTAATGTTACTGTATGTTGCTGTAATGTTGCTGGCATCAGTGTAACAATAGTCCATCCTTTCTCTCAGGTCATCCTGTGAAGACATACTCATCACCTTCCTCAAGCAGGCTGAACCAGATGTTTCCCTGGACATTCTGTGGCTGCTGGCTACTGGTGTCCATGGTAACAGTGTGAAGGACATATCACGGTGTCCCACTCAGTTGATGTTCCAGCCAGGAGACAGTGGTGGGCTGCGTGCTGTACTGGCCCCCTCCGACAGGTGAGGTGGAGGATCAGCTAAACCCCTCCTGTTGGTTTGTGCAGTTTCTGACAGGTGTGACCAAAAACATGTACAATTCTGCACCATCTCCTGTAGTCCACCATTTGTTGTTATTCACATCTGAAAACCACAAAAGTGTTTGGTGTCATCCAACTGCATCCAATGAAAATTAGGTTCTTCCTGGTTAGGCTTATTCAAAATTACACAAAAGATACCAACATTCAGTCACACAACCTCCGAGGGACTGAGAATATTGTTACATTATGTTTAGTTTGTTAATTGTGAAACCATTTTGGATGTCCCCACTTTTCATCTATGTATCATAGTTTACAAAATTACATTAGATATAAGTGACACTATTTGGCATGCGCTATCGCCAAAGGCTCGCATAATACAATTTTTATTCCTAATATATGATATTAATGATACAGAAACACACTCGGTTAATAATCTCTATGTAACGAATAATACTGAGCCTAGGTTTACTTTGACTGTGTTGTATGTATGCAGTTTAACATTTACTGTGTTGTAACAGTGTAAAGGAAGACAGGATTTATTGGTCCATGTGTTGAATGAATGCAGTGTTTACTTGTGTTTTGACAGTTGTGAGGAAGACGGCATCTGTGTGGAGACTCGGGTGCGCTGCCTGGTGGAGCTGGTGAAGCACCTACAGGACAGCAGTGTCACAGGGGACTTCTTTATCAAGCTGCTCCAGGTATACGAGTCACACTACACTTGCTCATCAACAATGTACAATTCATTCTTGAAGCTTTGGCATCAAAACACCATGCCAAGATTTATGTGTGTATGTCTGCATTGGTAAGGGCTTTGTGTCTACAAATTGCAAGCATTGACCAGTAGGTTGCTACTTGTAGGATATATACTCTTGGAAACAAAAAAGGGAACACATGAAAGTACAAGTGTTCCTGTATTCTTGTACTTGCATGTGTTCCCTAATGAGAATATTATTTATTAAAGACTACATCAGTATGTATTTTCATATATTTAAGTCATAGGTAAATAGTTGTCATGTTAATTACAGTAAAAAATGCAAAGATGCCCCTTTGGTATAGTGTTAGTTAGTTGTCATCCTCCTCTTCAGGTTTCTATCTTTAGAATGTGACTTTCAATCACATCCATTGTTTGTTCAGTGAGAACAGTATTACAATGTATTGGTAAATGAGGTATGACAAAATGATCACCATACTTTGTGGTGTATGGTAGTTATGAATGGTATGTGTTTTTGTTCATAGGAGCTAACGATGATGGTGTCATCTCAGACTGGTGATGGAGAATCAATTTCTGTCTCCTGCCCCGAGCCAGAGAAGGAGCTGCTAATGCTGGAGCTTCAAGATACACAGGAAGTGGAACTCTTCAACAGGAGGCTGATTGTGCTGAACCTTCTGGCCTCTATGTGTGAAGAGCTGGGGCCGTCCTGTCTTAACAAAACACAACACATTCTGGCATTTGTCAGAGTAAGTAGTTGTGTAGCTTATCTATTTACTTACTTTTAAGGTGTACATCTCTGATCTCTGCATGAACTTCATGTTGTCACTTCATTTGAAGAAACAAAACTGCAAAAGACACAAGAAAATATGGTGACATGCAGGTGATGTTCAAAGTCATGTTAGCTTCGTGGTTAAAAGAGTTGCTCAGTCACGCCGAACACCGGGTTCGATTCCCAACATGGGTACAATGTGTGAAGCCCATTCCTGGTTTCCCCTGCCACAATATTGCTGGAATATTGTTAAAAGCGTATAAAAGCACTCACTCAAAGTCATGTCCTTCAAATGGTAAAGCAGTCATTATAATTAACATTCCATATTGTTTTGATGTGTTACCTCTGAAGCAATTATTTGGAAGATATAACATTTCTGTTCTGAAATTTGAGGTAGTCAATCTGTAGGTTAGATACCTCATATTATTCTTCTTCTTTGGGGGCAGGGGACTGATTGCTTCAGATGTATGAATCAGTTGAAATATGTCTAAGTCTATGAATGACAGGTCTTCAGTGTCATGGTAGGATGAACCAATATTCTTTCCCTTACCCCCGAATTTAGATATAATATCATGCTTGCAGGTCACCGAAGACCTGGGTTCTATTCCCCACTTGGGCACAATGTGTGAAGCCCATTTCTGGTGTACCCCGCCGTGATGTTGCTGGAATATTGCTAAAAGCGGCGTAAAACCAAACTCACTCAGTCATTCTTGCAGGTAACTCTGGAGTGAGGTGTGTGGAGTTTAGATATAACATGTATGGTTACAGGCGACTATGGTACGAGGTGTGTGGAGTTTAGATGTGACATGTGTGGTTACAGGCGACTCTGGAGCGAGGTGTAGAGGTGTGTGGAGTTTAGATGTGACATGTATGGTTACAGGCGACTATGGAACAAGGTGTGGAGGTGTGTGGAGTTTAGATGTGACATGTATGGTTACAGGCTTACTCTGGAGCGAGGTGTAGAGGTGTGTGGAGTATAGATGTGGGCGTGTGGTTACAGGCGACTCTGGAGCCGAGGTGTGTAGAGGTGTGTGGAGTTTAGATGTGACATGTATGGTTACAGGCTTACTATGGAGCCGAGGTGTAGAGGTGTGTGGAGTTTAGATGTGACATGTATGGTTACAGGCAACTCTGGAGCCGAGGTGTGGAGGTGTGTGGAGTTTAGGATGTGACATGTATGGTTACAGGCGACTCTGGAGCCGAGGTGTGGAGGTGTGTGGAGTTTAGATGTGACATGTATGGTTACAGGCGACTCTGGAACGAGGTGTGGAGGTGTGTGGAGTTTAGATGTGACATGTGTGGTTACAGGCTGACTCTGGAGCCGAGGTGTAGAGGTGTGTGGAGTTTAGATGTGACATGTGTGGTTACAGGCTGACTCTGGAGCCGAGGTGTGGAGGTGTGTGGAGTTTAGATGTGACATGTATGGTTACAGGCGACTCTGGAGCGAGGTGTAGAGGTGTGTGTGGAGTTTAGATGTGACATGTGTGGTTACAGGCTGACTCTGGAGCGAGGTGTAGAGGTGTGTGGAGTTTAGATGTGACATGTGTGGTTACAGGCTGACTCTGAGCCGAGGTGTGGAGGTGTGTGGAGTTTAGATGTGACATGTATGGTTACAGGCGACTCTGGAGCGAGGTGTGTGGAGGTGTGTGGAGTTTAGATGTGACATGTATGGTTACAGGCGACTCTGGAGCGAGGTGTAGAGGTGTGTGGAGTTTAGATGTGACATGTATGGTTACAGGCGACTCTGGAGCGAGGTGTAGAGGTGTGTGGAGTTTAGATGTGACATGTATGGTTACAGGCGACTCTGGAGCGAGGTGTAGAGGTGTGTGGAGTTTAGATGTGACATGTATGGTTACAGGCGACTCTGGAGCGAGGTGTAGAGGTGTGTGGAGTTTAGATGTGACATGTATGGTTACAGGCGACTCTGGAGCGAGGTGTAGAGGTGTGTGGAGTTTAGATGTGACATGTGGTTACAGGCGACTCTGGAGCGAGGTGTAGAGGTGTGTGGAGTTTAGATGTGACATGTATGGTTACAGGCGACTCTGGAGCGAGGTGTAGAGGTGTGTGGAGTTTAGATGTGACATGTGTGGTTACAGGCGACTCTGGAGCGAGGTGTAGAGGTGTGTGGAGTTTAGATGTGACATGTGGTGTGGGGGACTCTGGAGCGAGTGTGGAGTTTAGATGTGACATGTGTGGTTACAGGCGACTCTGGAGCGAGGTGTAGAGGTGTGTCGGGCTACCATGGAGGAGCTGACTGGACTGTTTGAGTCGGAGACACTGAGTATGGCCATGGGATTGCTGACGGCAGTCATGGGAGGAGCTGTACAGGTGAGCCATGATGTCATTTTATGTAGCATTTATTCAGAGTATTTTAACATTTTCCTTCCATTGTTGGTACGGGTCTCTCTCAGTTCATCTCAAATCTAAAATAGACGGAATTGTTAACACTGCAAGTAAAATCACTGGAGTCAGATTTGAATGTTTATCATCAATATATGAGCGGCAAATTGTGAATCAAGCTGTCAAACTCATATCTGACCGTACTCAATACTTAAATTCGGAATACATCCTCCTCCAAAGTTCCAATTGTGAAAACTAAGAGAGCCCGTACATCCTTTATTCTAAGTACCATATCTCTCTTAAACAAATGTGAAGATACCTAAATCAAAGAATTTATGTAAATATGTTTGGTATCTCTCTAATGTGTCAGTAGCTCTGCTGATATAAAACAAATTCCAGAAAAGGCATTAAAGTATTATTCTATTCTATTCTATTCTATTCTATTCACATGACTTGCATCATGTGGTATATTTTTTACAAATCTCCACTCCAACTACAGTATCTAATATATGTGAGGCTTGAAGTTTGATACAAAGACTAGAACAATGTTGTGGTGTCCCTGACTCTGAGATGTTTGACTGATAACTGTTCCAGCGTTGAATTGACCTGATGCATGAAACTCACATTTGTCAATTTTGCAACAGGTTGAAGAAGCTGATAGACAGATGATGCAGGAGTTGTTGCCCCTGCTTGATGGAATCAGACAGGAACATGCATCAGATGAAGTTAGAGAAATGGCAGATGATATTCGCATTGCCATAGCAACCAGAGGTGCCGTATGGTCAGAGCTGATGAAGAGCAAACAAGATTTAAAGAAGCAAACACCACAGGTTAGAGAATATTCACTGTGTCACAGAATGCATTGTAGATTTACAGTATCCGAAAGGCTCACTGGTCAACATTGGGGATTCTGGATTAGAACTGGTCAACCTATGCTTGTTTTGTTTTGTTGTTTAATGCTACATTTGACAATATTCCAGCTATATGGCAGCGGTCTGTAAATAATTGAGTCTGGACCAGATAATCCAGTGATGAACAGCATGAGCATCGATCTATGTACATGGGATACAATGACCCGATCCCCGAAGCAGGGGATATAGTATTAGGCTCCGTACGTACGTACGAATTGGAATATCTTAAGAACCATTGACTGGATTCTTTTCATACTTGGTACCTAGGTTCAACACAGTATAAGAAAGGTACCCTTTGTCAGGTTTGGTGACCTTGACCTTCATTTCAAGGTCACCAGGGGACTTAACATTTTACCCTTGTCAGCGAGATATCCCAAGAACCGTTCACTGGATTTTCTTCATATTTGACACCAAGCTTCATATAGGGAAGGTGCAGGGCCCAGTCGAGTTTGGTGACCTTCACATAATTTTCAAGGTCACAGCGACACTTTGAAGATTTCAGCATGTTAAGATTGTCAGCAAGATATCTCAAGAAGGGTTCACTGGATTTTCTTCATAGATTTTCAAGACTTCTCTTGAATGTTTTTTGATAAGCAATTTCTCTATTACTATTTTTTGCATATTTCATACACCATGGCATTCATGTCAAGGTCAAAGTGAGTCTTGAAAATATTTGTGTGTTTGAACAGCTACAGAGCAGAGCAAAATATCAAGAGAGGTTGACTGGTCATGTTTTTGTTGACATTTAACTTCATCTTTCATTACTCTTTAAGTTTGATTTGACAATATGCGGTGGGGATTATGTCACCTTAGTGACAACTGCTTGTTCATTGATTAAATTTGATTTTCTATTGTCTAATAATTACTGGAATTTTGTGTTTGTAAAACTCTGTTGTCACTTTAAAGGTCTGTGTCATGCAGTCAAATTTGTTCAACATATACCATACATGTCTGCATGTGTTTATTTAGGCAAAAGACAAAGGGACAGACAAGAAAAAGGCCACTGACCGTAAGACTAAGAAACCATTGATAGAAGTTATCTCAGAAACATTGAATGAAACTTCACATGATGTCAACAGCTGTCAAGCTGAAATGATCAAAAACGAGGATGAGGTGCAAGCAGGTAACACAGGTTTAGCTGTTCCACATGAAAGACCAACTCCAGCCTCCCTCGAATCTTCTGGGCACCAACCTGTGTCTTCCCCGAAAGAAGGCAGTCCTTTCCCAGGAGAAAGAGAAGGCTCGGTTCAAGCCAGCAGAAAAGGAGGCTCTCCTCGTACAGGTGCAGAGGCAGACTCGCCTCACCCAAGTGGAGAACTAGAACAAGCCTTCAAGGAGCTATGTGACCCCGAGATCCCTGTCCGAGGTCATGGCTTGCTGCGTCTGACTCACCTCATTCAAAACAAGGATCCTTCAGTCTTGTCTCGACTGGAGACCTTGGTCAAGATATTTGAGGAGAATCTGCAACATCAAGATTCCTATCTGTACCTGGCTTCGGTCAACGGACTTGCAGCCCTCACTGACCGATTCCCTGATGTGGTGGTGCCAAGACTTGCCCAGGAGTTTGCAGAGACAGGTCCGCAGAAGTCAGCAGAACTGAGGATGAAACTTGGAGAAAGTTTAGTGAAGGCAGCAAGGAATTTAGGTATGTTTCATATAAAGTGCATTTAGATAGCTGCCTTGTAATAACTATGAGATGCCCAGTTTCGGTACAGTTACAGAATACCGGATACCTACCAGCCACGTGCACTTCTATTATAGGGAAGCACGAGCTGTAAAATTGTAAAAAATAAGGGTGCATGAAAATAAAAAATTAACCATAAAAATCGGATTACTTGGGACGACTTCCGGCCAGTAAAACTAACCAACGATTTTGAAATGAAAGGTAAGTTATCACAAATAAAAATATATCCGTATTTGAAAAATGGGACACATGGAATTCTGGGAGTTGGAGCGATTCCGCATAATCCTAACCCTAACCTTATTCGTTAAACTACCCTTAAAGAAGATAGTAACGTGTATCCAAGGGTTAAAAAAGTAAGTACGCTAAGAAAGCGAAGTTCTATAGTTTTCAAAGATGGCGGAAGGTATCCGGCAATCTGTAATCTTACCCCAGTTTCTTATGTGACCAAATTCACTTGTGTTACATGTAGTCCTGTAATGATTCACTCAGGTATTTGGGGTGGTGGGGTAGCCTAGAGGTTCGATCAAACCTGGGTTCGAATCCCCACATGGGTACAATGTGTGAAGCCCATTTCTGGTGTCTCTGCCATGATATTATATTTTGCTAAAAGCAGCGTAAAACTAAACTCACTCACTCACTCCTTGTCTTCATCTGCTAGTAAACTATGGTTACAAGATATTAGCCAACTGACAGTCTTCTTGTGTCTGTCAAGGTACGTCAAAAGCAGGTGTGAGGACACAATAATTTTGTGTTTGTAATCTGAACACCAAAAGTAACATCATGTGAATTCTGCATTCACAAGTTCACTCACTAACTCACGTATTCAGTAAATTCAAGCAGTATTCCTGCATGAATTCAATTCATCCTTCATGATCACTATATGACGACTAATCTCTGTGTTAGGACCAAGATCCTTTATAATACTCAGATACATGCAGCACTTTGATCATTGGTAGGACTCTGATTCATGTTTGGATTTAGATCAATGTCTGGACTCTGACTTCAATGTGTGATAGGTCTCAGATCCAGGGTAAGACTGAGATTCATGGATGCCATACTGTTAATACAAAACCAATTCTGTCCTGAAACAGGAGACATGATCCCCAAGTATCGCGAACTGCTGCTAGCTGCCGTCTTGTCAGGAGCTCGGAGTGATGATGCCATGGTCCGTGCCAGCAGTTTGTCCAATCTGGCCGAGATGTGCAAGCTGTTGAGGTTCTCCCTTGGAAATGTGCTTCATGAGGTGTGTACCAGTGGAACATTTTCTTGGGGGACATTTGAAGGTGTTTTGAGTTGCTGAGAGGTGTTTGCCATATTTTGTTCATAAAAAGATACATAATACAATTGTATGAGATAGAATAAGTACTGGTATTTAATGTTAAATTCATAGAGAATACTACACGAGGTCTCATTACATACGAATGATACGAAACGAGTGTCCTTCCTATGGTATCTGACTGACCAATGGCGAGGTCAGATAACATAGGAAGATCACGAATTCAGATCATTCGTATGTAATGAGACCAGTAATATTTTATTTATTACCCCGTCTTACATGCATTAAATTGACAAAATAGCGTATTTTTGTTATTTTTGGTTTCAAACCGAAACCGGTTTCATAAAGAGGTTCGCGGAAGAGTTTTGTATTGTAGTACAATATTTGCATGGCGTCACACTGTAATGATGTCACTGCCATGGTAACCGGCGCCACGATGCATGTCAGTTGTCATCGCCTTCGTACAGCCTCCTACAGTAAACTACTCCGTTGCACCCGTTTCTTGGTTTGCAGTTGCTTCATTAGGCTAACATCACTGGTGGAAACATTGCGTTTATGTTTTTAGACAGATATAATGTCTCAGTTCGACTCACAATTAAACAGCGACGCGGCAGCGTTCGCAATGTTTACTTTCCCACAATGCATTTAAGTTATAGAATGAATGAATTCACGTGTTCGTTATGAATGAAAAAATAGTTAAGTGAGACTGTGACCTAATAGAGGTCATGGGTTATCCAATCAAATCGTTAGAATCTCAGGTCAAGTCGTTACGACACAGGTCAACGCGATACGACACTCGTGTGACGTACGAGATTAGTATGCAACTACCCATACGTTGACCACGTGGGTAATAAAATGTAATATTAACCCAACTGTTTGCTGTACATATTGGATGCAAAAATGTGTTGTAAAGAATATACAAATTTGTCTCCTTTCAGTAAAACAAAATTATGTGTCTGAAATCACTAACCACTAAAATTAATACTCTGGAATACATGTGTAATATTATATGGTTGGTACTTGATGGTTACACAGCCCTGTACCTGACACATGTTTTTATACATGTCAACCATGGAGGCATGAACACTTTATTAATACAATTCCACTACTCCCTAGGTGTTTGAGTGCTGCTCCAGCATTGTGAAGACTGACCCTGACCCAGAGGCCAGGAAGGCGGCCATCTTGACAATCACCCAGCTATTGCAAGGGTTGGGAGCTGATGCACCCAAGGTGAGTTGGCAGCAGACATATGAACTCTTTGATGTCAACTTTTGTAGTGTGAGAAACTTGTGAATGCAGAATTAACATGAGGCAATATTGGTGTTCTGATTACAACCACAAAATGATTGTGTCCTCACACCTGCTTTTGACCCACATTGACAGACACAAGAAGTACTGGCAGTTGGCTAGTATCTTAACCATAGTTTACTAGCAGATGAAGGCAAGGAGGAGTATGGTTTTACGCCGCTTTTAGCAATATTCCAGTAATATCACACGGGGAAAACAAGAAATGGGCTTCACACATTGTACCCATGTGGAGAATTGAACCAGCACCTTTGGTTTGACGAGCAAACGCTTTTACCTTTAGGCTACCCCACCGCCCCTGGAGGCGAGTGGGTCATGGTTTTGTCTTTCAGAATGGCAACGGACCGCCTCCGTGGTGTAGTGGTTAGAGCATCCACCCGGAGAGCGGAAGGTCACAGGTTCAATCCCCGACCCCGTCCTACCAAAAGACGTTAAAATATGGTACTTGTTGGTCCCTGCCTGGCGCTCGGCATTACTGGGTACAACAAGGACTGGTCGGCTCGGAGTCAGTATAATGTGTCTGAGTGGGGTATTCATGCTTCACTGCGTCATGGTTTCTCAGTGGGCTAGCACTATAAAACCAGCTTAAGTCTGGGCTAGTACAAGCAGCCACACATACACATACACATGCATGCACGTCGTCATATGAGCGAAATATTCTCAAGCACGACGTTAAACCCAATTTCACCTCACCTCACCTCAGAATGGCAACGCCATTCTCACCCTGCATGGGTCATCAGTGTTCATCTACAGCAGCACAATATAATTAGAATGCCAGGGACGGCAATGAGCAAGGTTGATAGTACTTGTCTCGGAAATGTCCCGGGTCCTCGGTGTGACAAGCGAACACTTTAACCACTAGGCTACCCCACCGCCCCCATTGAAGGCAAGGAGTGTTCGGGACTAATGTGATCATTGTCTTCTGACTTCCATCTTATTGGGTATTTTATAATGCTTGTGTTAATGTTCCAGAAATAACCACTAATTTCTTATGACTACACAATGCCATTTGAAATGTGGTGAAATGTAAAAGTGGGATTACACTTTCTCAGTAAAGGACAGAGTGGGCTGACTATGTGTGATGGTGATTAGGTGCCTGACTCAACCCGGACTCAACCCAACATAAGTACTAAAATCTGTACTTTACTGAGAAAGTTTAATCCCAAATATAACATACGTTTCATTTCCTATGGTTTGACACTACTGTTGAGACCTGTGAAGATCCGGGTTAAAATATTGGCCTTCAGTAACCCATGCTTGTCGTAAGAGACGACTAACGGGATTGGGTGGTCAGGCTCGTTGACATGGTTGACACATGTCATCTGTTTCCAATTGCGCAGATCGATGCTCATGCTGTTGATCACTGGATTGTCTGGTCCAGACTCGATTATATACAGACTGCCGCCACATAGCTGGAATATTGCTGAGTGCGGCGTAAAACTAAACTCACTCACTCACTACTGCTGATGATTCTGTGTCTGTCTGTCCACAGTTTCTGGGGTCTCTGCTGCGAGACCTGTACCGTCTCCTGAAGCTGGTTCACGTCTCCGATGAGGATGACATGGTGCGCACTCACACCCTGCTGGCTCTCAACGAGCTGGATGTCATCATGAGGGGAGCGCTCTTTCCTCAACAGAAACTGGAGAAGAAGATCACGATCTTGCACCCAGACTCTTGACACAGGGAACCAGGACGTGGTGCTCAACTGGCATTTGTGCCAGTTTAACATGAGTGAAGTTGAACATGAACATTCCATCCAGTTGGACCTGTCAACCTTGCACCGTGTTGGTGCTTTGAACCAGACTTTGATTTGAGTGACTGTTCAGTTTGGCAACAGTTTGGCATTAAATACCAAGCAAACAAACCAACAACAGCATTTAGGTCTGGATATGTCTATCCCTCATGCAGTAACATATTGTAAATAAAGAATGATTCTATAATATGTGTATATTTATTATTTGTCCAGGCCTGGTTTAACTTCTTTGAGTGGCATTTTTAGAAGTTGGAGAGTCAGATAAAGACAACCTGTATGGATAAACTTCTTTATTCAAAGAAGCTGTTCATTCATAAAGTTTGTCCTTATCTGGGTTTTTGTCACTATTTTCAGAGAAGCATGGCTGAAAGTTTGCACATATACCAGTAGATAAACTTACAATTTTGCTTAGTTTGAAGAAGTGCCTGTTATAAACAGATATTTACAATTTAAAAAAATGTTTTATGAGAGATATTTTTTAATCTGAACTCAACATTTCAGTCTTGCCTCTCAAATTAACCATAAAGATATGTTTGATAACTTGTCTCAGTTTGAAATAGAACATAAAGCAGTTTATCTAACAAAACCCACCTTTAGGACACAAATATTGTGTCGAGTAAAGGATTTATTTTATTCATTTTGGGTGACATGATAGTTTATTCTGGCACATATCCAGCAGGGTAGTTGATCTTGACATTGGCGGGACAGTTGGGGGTGGGGCAGCACTTCCCGGGGGCGGGGTTGTCCAAGTGGCAGCTTGGCAGCAGGTTCCAGCTCACACATCTGGGGAGGATAATGTTTTACTTTAGATTGGTTTTGTCATTAAGTTAAATTATTGTACCAAGGGTATTGCTTGATTAATTTGATTAAGATTTGATTAATATCATATGAGTATGCGAAAATCATAGGTGTTCAGGATCTCATTAATATGCAGGATCTTATTAGCATGCTAAGGTCATAGATGTTCAGGATCTCATTAATATGCAAAGGTCATAGATGTTCAGGATCTCATTAATATGCAAAGGTCATAGATGTTCAGGATCTCATTAATATGCAAAGGTCATAGATGTTCAGGATCTCATTAATATGCAAAGGTCATAGATGTTCAGGGATCTCATTAGCATGCGAAGGTCATAGATGTTCAGGATCTTAAGGTCATAGATGTTCAGGATCTTATTAATATGCAAAGGTCATAGATGTTCATGTTCAGGATCTCATTAATATGCAAAAGGTCATAGGATCTCATTAATATGCAATGCAAAGGTCATAGATGTTCAGATCATGTTAGATGTCATTAATATGCAAAAGGTCATAGATGTTCAGGGATCTCATTAATATGCAAAAGGTCATAGATGTTCAGGATCTCATTAATATGCAAAGGTCATAGATGTTCAGGATCTCATTAATATGCAAAGGTCATAGATGTTTGTTGCAAAGGTCATAGATGTTATGCGAAGGTCATAGATGTTCAGGATCTCATTAATATGCAAAGGTCATAGATGTTCAGGATCTCATTAATATGCAAAGGTCATAGATGTTCAGGATCTCATTAATATGCAAAGGTCATAGATGTTCAGGATCTCATTAATATGCAAAGGTCATAGATGTTCAGGATCTCTGTAATGGATGACTCCGAGAATTGTTGCTGTGTATTTACCTGGAATTGCACTCGTAGTGTCCTGTCTTTCCATCTGTGCAGGTGCAGCGATAGTCACAGCCGTCGACCCAAGTCTGACCCTGTTGGTAGGACTGGCCCTTGTACACACACACATCTGAAAATGTTGAGACATTTATAGCTAATGTAGCAGGGCGTAGAGTCACCCCACAGATGATATCCTCACCTTGTCAACCTGCTGATTGGTTTAACCTCTTTTTCTCATGTGGACATGGTGTCCGACTTCTGATCAGAAGGTCCGTGGTTCGAATCCCAGCACGGGACTTGGAAATTTTATGGCCGCTACACTAACAAGAATATAGAGAGGATATTGATAGAATTCAAAATAATTAAATACAACTAGTTTTATTCTTTTCATCTTAAATTTTAGCACTGAACACCCAACGTGAACAGGCTTTACAACAATTAGGCAGATCTGTTAGGCAACACCCACCCATATTTCAAACATAAATACTGTTTTAAAGTCTCAAACTGAACACACTAGCACCTAGTTGTCTCTCAATTCCAAGCTGAAAAAAACATTGGCAATTTATCCAACAGTCAATATATGATTACTGCCTTATTCAGAGATATATGTGATAAAAAACACTTTTTATAAATGAAAGATAAACTGTGAATGGAAACTGAGTAAAAGAATCTATTAATTCTAAATCTGAATTCTATCAACAAGAATCAATGAAATCACAAGTATTGACCATCCAGTTGCATGGGATTGTACAAATGAGAAAAGTGAAAATTGTTATAAAATGTTCTGTCCTAACATTACAAGGCGGATGTTGTGCCAATGGTGACAGGAGTGAAGGGTATAACGACGATTCAGACTCAGGAAGTGTACTTACTGTTAAGGTTGGGGCAGTTGGGTTTAGCACAACACTCGCCTGGCTGCTTCATCATCTGGCATCCAGCTGGAAGATTCTTGTAGGTGGCGCACCTGGAGCAGATACGTGGGACATATCAAGGGGAGCTTCAGTGAAGCTTCTTTAATACGGACTCTCGCTTTCCTGAAGGGGACGCTTCATATTGTATCGTTCAAGTACAGTGAAGCATCTTTAATATGGACTCTCGCTTTCCTGAATTGGAGACTTCATATTGTATGGCTCAAGAGCAGTGAAGCTTCTTTAATAAGTACTATCGCTTTCGTAAAGGGGAGGATTCAAATTGCATGTACAAGTACAGTGAAGTTTTTTTTAATTTGGACTCTCAATTTTCTGAAGGGGATGCTTCAAATTGCATGTTCAAGTCCCGTGAAACTTATTAATGCGGACCCAGCTCTCCTGATGATGATGTTATGAAGATCTACATATTTACAGGAACATTACTCTGTCGTAAGCATCAACATTTTGTATTCGGAGGGTCACATTACTTTCTACCGAAAGGAGACTCAGGAATAATTCCATATGTTTACTTTGTTCAAAATGTTTTGAAATGGATGTTTGCTGTTAGAATTCTTTAATTATGCCGTTCTCTAGAACAGTGTTAAATGTCTGTAAACACTGATATCCCTGTTTCATTGACCATCATGATTAACCTGAACTTGGCCAGGCGCTGCATAAGGAGTGGAACATACTCTCACTAATCCTATTGGGAGACTCTTCTTTAATTATGCCATTCTCTAGAACAGTGTTAAATGTCTGTAAACACTGATATCCCTGTTTCATTGACCATCATGATTAACTTGAACTTGGCCAGGCGCTGCATGAGGAGTGGAACATACTCTCACTAATCCTCTTGGGAGACTCCTCTGCAGTGTTATTCCACCTGTGATCTGTTGTACTTCAATGCATCCATAGTATAATGACGTGCAGTATATGATTCCTGGGACTGGGTACTCCACTAATAAGCGACTGTGGTTACAGTGTCTGATGTGGTTCATTGTATGGAAACCACGTCCAACGTTGCTGTTTCTGTTTCTTTCAGGAGAGCCAGTTGATGACAACTCAGTTAAACAACTCACAGGTTCATATGCACAAGGATTATGTCAGTATTAAGTACATTGATGGGTTAAGGGACTCCCTCCATCCATTTAGTTCACATGAGCGTACGACAGTAATTTAAGAGTACTATATAACATTACGCCAGTATTGATACTTACACAGACTGACAGAGGTATTTTCCAATCTGAGCACTGACACAGGTACAGTTTTTGTCACAGCCATCTGCCCAGGAGTCGCCTTCGTTGTATGTTTTGCCTTTGAAGACGCACACCTTGGCTGTTGAAAGTAAGAGAAGATGCACATAGTGCATGGTGTTGCTTATTGAATGTACGGTAATAACTATATATACTTTTCAAACAGTAGGTGATCATTACGTATACGTGATGATACGTGGTCTTAAAAAAACGATAGGCGTTAGACGACAAATATACATATTATATGCAAGAACGTTCATTTCTGTAAAACTTAACACCAACACAAGTCCTATAGTTTTCACATGCTGCGGGAAGGAGCGTCACGCACATGCGCACGGTGACATTCCTGGTTAGTCTCTGTGGGTGATTATTTCTGAAAATCAAGATACAGTCGAGTTGTCTCGATATTCATGGGACCAAGAAAAAATATCGACTTATCCTAACTTCGAGACATCCGACCTGGGCATATCATCACATATCTTATAGTTGTGATTTACTAGATTGCATTCATTGTTCGTGAATGAACTGTCGACATCGCGCGGCTATGCGTTGGGCGTTGAAAGACACTAGCTGAGATCAGTGTGCCCTGGCCAGTACACCTTATGTTTCACAGTCTGTGATTAGCACACCATGGAACTGGCTCCAAGAAACCCAATATGTTGCGGATTGATACCCATTAGGGCGGCCCAGATCAACAAGAGTAGAGAATTGACCTGAAACCAGGCTCCATGAGATCAACCGATTTACCACTGGATCGGTTATGGTGTCCAGTAGTGGTGGGAATTGGTTAAAATCTCATAACTGATGATTGGTTTATGACAACCGACCAATCATCGAAATAATTGGTTAGCGTCATTTATAAAATTTTCCTGGTTATGTTTCTTAATGCACAAAACATAAAGAAAAAATATGTAGTTCTTTCTGGGTTTTTTTTGGCAAATTTCACATCTTTACAGGATGACTGATACCTTATGAACATAAATTTCCCGGACTCTTTAAGATAATTTCACTCATGGCTTGGAATGAGCTAGTAGTGCTAATGCAATGTAACAGACAAAACCAACCTTGTGAAAAATATTGTTAATGCAAACAAGTGTTCCAAAATTGTTTGTGTTCGATTATGAGAAAACATGATCGATTTCTTGGTCGTTTACTCATTGCAACCAATCTTCGATTATTTCAATTAATCGGACCACCACTAGTGTCCAGTGACATCACTATGTCAGCGCGAACAGAGCCCCCATATTGTGACGGATCACTGGACAGTACTATGGGGACAACTTACTAACCATTATTGTCCCGTTTGATATGTGAGTAAGATGGGTGTTATGCTGCATTTAGCAATATTCCAGCAATATCACGGCGGAGGGCACAAGAAATGGGCTTCACACATAGAGCCCATCTGGGGAATCGAACCAGGGCCTTCGGCGTGACGAGCGAACGCTCTTACCAATAGGCTACCCCACCGCCCCTTGAGTGGGTCGAGGTTTTGTCTTTCAGAACAGCCACGCCTGTGCTCACCATGCTCAGACTGTCAGTGCTCACCTCAAGCAACAAACTAATTAGAATGCCAGGGACGGCTATGAGCTAAGTCGAAAGTACTTGTCTCTGAAATGATAGTGAAACGTGGACGCCATAGATAACACATGTTGGCGGAACTTGGCCAGGCGCTATAAGAGGAGTGTTACAGACTCCCACAACCCAATGGGGAGAGTCCTTCGCAGTGTGCCTCGTCCGGTGAACGCATGTTTGAGAAATCATGGCGATATTACGCATTACTGACCCAAAAAAGTCAACTTAGAATTTTCTCATTTTACCCATATCCTTTTAAGTTCGTGGGCGGACTTAAAATCTACTGCCATATTTTACTAAAGCTTGTCATGTGTTCCGAATTCTTTCATTACTATCATATTATATATCTATTACTAAAACTCATATTTCTCACAGGGGCGGTGGAGTGGCCCAGTGGTTAAAGCGTTCGCTCGTCACGCCGAAGATCGATTCCCCACATGGGTACAATGTGTGAAGGCGTAAACCTAACTCACTCACTCATGTTTCTTATATTACTGGGAGTTCTAAGTTATTATATTTGAAGGGTATACATGTTATATATTAAACTCATTGTAGTAATGGGTTCCAAACTGTTGTCTTAACGTACGTTTTTATACTAATATTACTATAATTATATTTTTGGTAACAAGAGTGAAATGTCTTGATGGAGCGTGATATGTATGTTGATATGTTACAGGAGAAGAATAAAGAGATTCCATAAAATGCTGACTACTTACTTGTTCCTGTGATTGCACCATTTGCCGCTGAAAAGAAATAATAAAAGTGTTATAATTGAATACGCATGCTCATCAGAACGCCATTGATCTACCTTCCAAAACCTATTCAGACACTATTTCCCATAATATGTGAACATGTAATTAAGTTCGAGAGCCTAATGTTGTCACTTTGGTTGTAAAATTATATTTATGGGGTTAAATTTACATTTTGGAGTATATATCTCTTTTCCAATCATTCTATATTTCTTCTTAAAATGTTTTGTGGTCTACATAGGCGGATCCAGAGGTGTGTGTGTGTGTGTGTGTGTGTGTGTGTGTGTGTGTGTGTGTGTGTGCGTGCGTGCGTGTGCGTGCGCGCGCGTGCAGAGGTGCGCACTCCCCCGCCCCCTTTTTGGTCCTGTAAGTATATTAAATGACTCTTGAAACTCCCGTGAAAACGAAGTGGCATTCCCCCCTTTCTCAAAAGTGTGCACCCCCCTCCCCTTCTCAAAAGGCTGAATCAGCCCCTGGTCTTCTCGTTTCTTGGCTTACTTTCACGTATTTTCCATTATATTCTAATTATTTCAATCTTTTTTTCAACTTTCGATTTCTTATTGATATTTTTTCAAAATTTCTGCTATAGTGTCCCGTTTTTAAGATGCTGCATAATTGAAATAACGAGAAAATTATGTATGTAAAGAGGGAAAATGAGAAAATTTAAAGAAATAAAAAGTGGCATCATTAGGCTTCCGTACGAAAGAATTTTTGGCGCACGGTGATCACGTCATGGCGGTTTTTGATTACAGTGGACAGACTGAGGAAGCTCGCGTGATAGATAAGAAGAATATATCCAAAAACGGTGGCAGTCAAGGTTGGAATTTGTCCCTAGCGACCTATGGCCGTTGTGAGAGGCGACATAGGCGGTCAGGCTCGCTGACAATAAGTGTGTGCCATCGTACCCCGAAAACAGGAGTCTTTGTCGTAACAGCAATCACTGATATGTATGAGACTCGATTTTACGAGGCTGAAGTCATGTATCTGTAATATGTTTGTGTAAAACAACAAACAAATAACGTACGGCATAAACCGCAGAAGTTTGCACAATTGTCCTTTGCCCATTGGGAATACTGGCCACCACAGGCTGCCTTCCCGTAATCCGGACAGTTGTTGAGCTTGTCAGCACAGCTCCCGCCAAGAGCGCTGGTAGTTTCTGGAAGTGGAAGTTACATGACGTTAGAGTGTCGATTGTAAGCCATTAATATGAATATTATCATAACAAACACACATGTGATACCATCCATATCAAGCGTATTATATACACACAGAACTCAGTTAAGCATCCACTGACATATCTCACGATTGAATGAGCCCCGATCTTAACCCTTTGGAGCATATCTGGGACATGACTGGTCGTCGTGTGCAACATAGGGATCCTCCTGGACAGAACCTGGCCCAATTGGAAGCCGTTTTACACGCGGAACAGACTGTCCCATCAGAGGATCAGAAGGCTGACAGGGGGTATGAGGAGGAGGGTGCTGGCTGTCATATAGTCACATTGAGTTTACACTCGGTATTGACCTTGAACCGTGTAAGAAACGAAAAATGACATTTTGAATGTTCATATTCACCAATAAATTCAACATTAAACATTCCAGGGCCATAGCTGTAGAGACATGGTTTCGTATGAAAATCAGTAGGTTTTTTTAAATTAGCAATTATCATAACAAAATCTAACATGGACTCCAATCATTTTGTCGTTTTTTTATGAGTCAAAGGATCATACGGGTCAGAAAAACTCATGTTTGTCCATAGTTTTATGTAGGTGCTGAAAACATATCATTGCAAAAATAGAGGGGTGCTTAATTGGGGCTGCTGTTTATCGTTACTTCTCAAACCCTCCACAGGGGTAATAGTTTCCGTAAACATTTAACATGTAACTGACTTTTGTTTGATTTCTTGTTTTCCGTTTTATGCTGTTTGCATGGAAACACACTTTAATTCGGAAGCGGATTCTTTTCTACATATGAATGGTTCGTGTTGTGTCACATATTATTATCATTAAGTCTCAATATCCATCGTTATTGTTTATCAGTATGGTTATGATAAGCTTCACTGATTGAGTTAACTCGTCATGCCAAAGATCCGGGTTTGATTCCCGATATGAGAACCACGTGTGAGATCAGTTTACTGGTGTCCTCGGTTACTAGAATATTGCAGAACGTGGCCTAAAGACCAATCAGCCAACAATCGGCGTTACTGATGCTACCATATGTATTGTCTTTGATTTATTGTAATACTTACGGCAAAGGTTACAGGTTTTTTGACAGTTAATCTGGGCGAACTCAACATAGGTAGAACACAGGTCACTTCCAAGGTCGGCACAATTTGGCAGCTTGTCCACACATTGTTGTGAAGAGGTACTGGTCTGTGGGCTTCCTCCTGCAGACATGTAACAGGAAGTGCCAGTGATTGGTATAAAGAACTAACCAGAGGAGCTCTTTATCATCAATGTCCTCAGAATTAGCTGTGATTATATAGATTGACTGTTATTAATGACGTTGCTTTGCACAATTGGTTTCCAGATCCAGTTTCTCACTGTGTAACCATAATGTTCACCGCTTGCCAGACACAACGGAATCTCTATTCTCAAATGCAACACTGATCCTTATAAAACATAATCTGAATTTGCATCATACTTTTATTTCTAACCTTCAAAAACCGCATCTTTAGCTGTAGCGGATATCATTACAACCTAAATCTCCACAGAACACAATGAGTATTTGGTAAGCGCTTTTGTAATAATCTCAATATATGTATATACATCTGATATATATCTGAAAGCATGAGTCACGGGGACATCCGGGTCAATCGTCGGGTCTAGCCATTGCCTACCGCTGGCATATAAGGGTCACCTAAGAAACGGTAGCCAACGGCAATACCCTTTTCTTGTAGGTGACCGGGGAAGTGGTAGTGGAACACACAGTGGCGTTGTATATGTTACAGTAAATATGTACAACCAGTAAAATGTATATTTACTGATTCCGTCAGAGATTATGTATATTTACTGATATTTTCTGGGAATATACATATTTACTGAAATCTACATTGATTCATTTTACCTTTGCTGACATCAAGATCTAAGAAGATAGGACATATAAACAACGATTTGTTTGCTATATATATACTTACCACAGTAGGAGCGGTAGGGTAGCCTGGTGGTTAAAGCGTTCGATCGTCACGCTGAAGACCCGGGTTCGATTCCCCACATGGGTACAATGTGTGAAGCCCATTTCTGGTATCCCCCGCCGTGATATTGCTGGAATATTGCTAAAAGCGGCGTAAAACCAACCTCACTCACTCACTCACTTACCACAGTATCCACAGCAGTTAGCCTGTGCCCACTGCGTGTATGATGAACAAACGTCTTTCCCATAGCTCGCACAGTTCTGGAGTTTGTCTGTACATGCCTGGCGCTTCACGATCAAGCCTGATGCACAAATAATAATTATCATAATGATGATAATAATGACGATTATGATAATGAAGACGGTGGTGTTTTAAAATCCATTTATGCAGCCCGGATCGAGTCACAAAATGAATGTTTATGACACAACACTGTTCTTACCCGTTCTTTAAGATAGTGTGAACTCAAATTTCATTCTGAGCTTACTGGCGAGTAAACTACCCAAATTGCCTAAAGATTCGCTAAGGGGTTTACAGTCATTTACCATCTCATTCTACCGGGTACCCATTCACAGCTGAGTGAACAAAAGAATATTTCGCTTGAGGAGATAACACATGTAAGCTGTAGAAGGACCCATCTGACAATTCTCAACAAACCGAATTGCTTTGTAGCATTGTCACTCACCCCGTGTCGCCACACATTCTCACAAGGCTATGTACAAACCAAACGAAATCAATAATCCTTCCACGGATTTTACTGTGAAGACACGAAAGGTATACCTTTTCAGTAAACTCAACCAAAGTGTTTTATAAAACCCAGATTGTATTCAGGGATAATTGGAAGGCTGGGATACTAAAGGTCAATGGAACAGTTTAGTGTGACCTTTAGTGGATCCTGACTCTCATCACTAACGTAGCCACTTCCAGGCGAAAAATAAATTTACATTTTCTTTTTAAATTTCTTTCGACTTAACCGTATAGCCTAGTGGTTAAAGAGCTCGCCCGTCACGCCGAAGTTCGAGTTCGATTCCCCTAATGGGTACAATATACCAAGGCCATTTCTGCTGTAGCCGTGCTGGAATGTTGCTAAAAGCGGCGTAAAAAAGTATTCACTCACTTTTGATACTACACTTGTCGATAAGAGACGAGGTTCGATTTTTTCCTTCGTTTATCGGTTGATATATATGCTACTTAAAGTGTGATGTTTTCTGTAAATGATGTTTAAGATGTGTTTGAGTGTAGAAAATACCAATAACCATTTGGAAGTGACAATGCCAAGCCAGATACCAATCATTGCAGTGCGAGATAAAGCGTGTCTTGTATCCATTAACCGTGATTAAAATAGACACCAGTAAAAAGTTTAACATGAGAAGCAAACAGATTCACTTGACATGACATTCAGTCTCATGCATAGTTCGTCTGGAAATAGGTTGTCAACTGGTAGCAGTTAAACATTTCGAAAGACGAGAACGACAATTATTTCAAGAGACTACTCGCCAAGAATCAAAATCCTAAATAGACATTAATTCTTTATAAAATGAATGAATAATTTAGGATTTCATCCCTGAGAAAAATGTAAATAATATCAACGAGTCTGCTCAACATGAGACAAAAACAGTAAGTAGCGCTACCAAGATCAGCTGATCCTGGTATGCTTAAGGGACGCAATTCTGATCAGCTTCCGCATTTTAAACGACGTGCACGCTTTGCCCCAAATGTAATTTTAATGAAATTAATTATTTTTTTCTTAAATAATAAAACGTATCCTTGGTTTCAAATTCAATAGAACGCTGACAAATATCCATTGAAAACACTAAAGTTAGTAAGAATGGTTAAAGTTCGTTATGTACTTACCCGATACGGAGGCTAGTAAAGACAGAAATATAACAAGTTTCGTCATGGTTAATTGTAAGAGATGACTTGAGTGTTGCAGTGGATGAGGGGTGTCCGCGTTGGGTTATATAGCGATGCTCCACCTACCACAGTGATGATAAAGAGATTAGTTACAGATCCTGACAAGTCACCCCCGCCCATTTTGTATGTTCACCCCCATTGTTTGCCCGGAACTACCCCCACAAGCTGTGATTCACTCACTGATAATCACCCCCAGAAGCTGTTTGCAACAACGTCATTAGAGAAATGGAAAACTGACAAGTCCTGGAAGAAAAACAGGGTAGATTAGAAAGAGATTAACTACCCGTGGCGGTCCACCTTGTCTAATAGATGAGTATACTCCAAGTCATCATGTTTATTTCGGATCCCAGTTTCGGTTAAAAAATGAACCGAAAACAAAATTCCTTCTAATTTTAAACTTTCCTGGTCTGTTACGTGATGTCTCCTTGTGAGAAGAAAAATGAGTTAGTCGGAATAAGCCAATTTCCACATGATTGAGTATGGCTTTACGCCGCTTTTAGCAATATTCCAGCAATATCACGGCGGGGGACACCAGAAATGGGCCGCCATGACTTTACTGCATCGCTATGTTCCTTCAGACTTGGGTCGGTGGGGTAGTCTAGTGGTTAAAGTGTTCAGTCGTCACACCGAAGACCGGGGTTCGATTCCCCACGTGGGTACAATGTGTGAAGCCCATTCCTGGTGTCCCCCGCCGTGATATCGCTGGAACATTGCTAAACCGGCGTAAATCCATACTCACTCACTCACTCACTCACAGTGAGTGTCATTGGTTTAATTTCCTCCACAATCACATTTCTCTGATTTGAGTGAATAATGTGAGTTTGGTTTATCGGAGTTAACGGTGCTACATTTAAGTAACATTCTTGTGCACCAGCTTCTTCTGTGGGGAAAAGTCATAAGCGATGCAGGCCTTAAGTCTTACCACTTTGGTTACCCGTGAAGATCCGGGTTAGTACCATGCTTGTCGTAAGATCCCGTGGTCTGACTTTGTTGACGCATGTCATCGTGTTATCGTGCTCGATGCTTATGATGTCGATCTTTGGGTTGTCTGGTGTGGAAATATACAGACATTCGCCATATTGCCTGAAGATTGCTGTGTGGTTCGTTAAATAGCAATCAAAGTTTGGTGAATACGCTCGAATCTGTGACTATTGGTACCTTGCACTTAAATGATTAAACTCCCCACTGTTTTAAAGAGTTAGTA